GCGCTCAGCAGCCGCGATCGGCAAGGCGCTCGCGGATGGAGCCCTTGAGGGCTTGTCTGCTGGAGCTGCCGGCGCCGCGATCGACAAAGCGATCGACTATATCACGTCGCGCGACGTCGCCGACTTAGATGCTCGCTCGCTCAGCGCTATTGAGGACTTCCTCAGCGATATCTTCAAGCGCGATTATGGTCTTGAGGAACGCTCTGCTGCTGCGATTGGCAAAGCTGTCGCCGCGGGCGTCGCGTCTGGCGCGCTCGAGGCAGGCGTTACCGCTCTCGTAGACAAGTTCACGAAGCGCGATGTCGAGGAGCGCTCTGCCGCCGCTATCGGGAAAGCCGTGGCCGCAGGTGTTGCGTCAGGCGCCCTTGAGGCCGGCGTTACTTCGCTCGTCGACAAACTCACAAGCCGCGCGGAGGGCGACATGTTCGTAGACGACTCGACCGGTATCATCTACATCGACGATGGCGTTGAGGTCGAGGCGCGCTCCGCTGCTGCTATCGGCAAGGTCGTTGCAGCTGGTATCGCATCCGGCGCGCTTGAAGCTGGCGTTACTTCTCTCGTCGACAAGCTCACGAGCCGCGACGCCCCCGAAGCCCGCTCGCTTACCGCAATCGAGAACTTCTTCGACAGCATCTTCAAGCGCGACGTCGAGGAGCGCTCGGCCGCCGCTATCGGGAAAGCTGTCGCAGCAGGCGTTGCTTCGGGCGCGCTTGAGGCGGGTGTCACCTCGCTCGTCGACAAGCTCACAAGCCGCTCGATGAGCGATATCTTCATCGATGACTCGACCGGTATCATCTACGCCGACGTCCCCGACGCGACGGAGGCCGGCGAGAAGCGCGCCATCGGCGCCATCGTGAAGGGCCTCGTGACGGGAACGGGCGCTGGTATCTTGAAGACTGTGTACAATGATTTGACAAGCCGTAGCATCAACGAGCTTGATTAGATAGTGTGCCTCATGGTTTCGTTACTGTACTCTCTCCTGGGTTATATTTGGGCTCTTTTGTGTTTGTGTTCGTTGGTCTCGGGTTGAATGCAATGCTCAGCACTTTCCTTTCCTCTCACAACAACGCGTGATCTACGAATAGTCAGCCCACTCATAAGCTCGTAGCCGGAGCATGTTGTGAACATCGCGTCTGCGGACAAGTCAAATAAACGCGCTTGCAACGCGCCCTCGTGAGAAAGGCATCAGCCGCGTCTTACGATCGAAGCGGATCTGCTTAGCGCGGGCTCCTCTCCAACGAACGGTCACCATGTTCTCCTCATTCTTCTCGTGAGTTTCTTGTTTGGTTGTGAGTTCGCGCTGAGACGGACTGGCAGCACGACCGATCCGACGGCACAGAACTTCCACCCCGTCTCGTCCGAGTACAAGCCGGAGGATCTCGCGGGCGCGCTCGAGCCCAAGGATCTCGAGTGGACGTGTGCCGGCGGATTTATTACTGAGACGCAGACGTGGTATGCGACGCTCGAGGATGGGACGTCGTTGATGTGCCAGGTCATCCACTCTGCCGTAGGGTGCGTTTGCCATGTGTTCGTAGTATTACAACTCTAAACCTAACGCCGCCGCACCTATAGAATGTGGTACCCTCAGATCCAGCTCACGTTCAAGCTCGCGAACCCGGTAACGGGCGAGAACACTTGGAAGAGCATCAACGTGACCAACTTTGTTACTCCTCCGCCTGGGCTCGACAAGAGGTCGAGCAAGTCGGACCAGTTCACCATTACGCACAAGGACATCCCTGGCGGCGGAGAGTACCCCGAGACGTACTCGATCACCGTTAACTGCGGCGACGAGCTCAAGGTTATGCTTGACATTCGTCGGCCTACGGCTGTTCCCGGCTTCAAAGTCGGCAAGGGCCCCAAGGGCGGCTTCTCGTACTTTGGCACGGACAAGGCCAACCCCGAGGGTTATGTCGTTCACCGCTTCTGGCCTCTCACTCAGACCGTGGGCAATGTTGTAGTCAAGGGCGCTTCCCGTGCGATTGATGCACCTGGCATCTTCATACACGCGATCCAGGGCATGCGCCCGAATCTCGTGGCTGCACGCTGGAACTTCGTGCACTTCAAGAGCCCATCACACCCGGGAACAAGCACGGTTCAGATGGAGTTCACCACGACGGATTCGTACGGCAAGAAGGGCAGTGGTTCGGGATACGTTTCGGTGAACGTTGGTGCACTCGTGACGGATGGGAAGCTGGCGGCTATCACTGCGGAGACGAAGTGGCCGGGAGACAAGACGGAGGAGGGCGCTGTTGTGTCGCGATGCGACCATCTGAAGCCTGTGGTTGACCCGGAGACGACTTACCCTGCGCCTACGGAGCTGCTCTTTACGTGGAAGGGGCCCGCACTGGTGGGATCTGGAGACGTCAAGGGCGTGTTGCAAGTCGATGTTGGCGAGCCGAGCGCACCCAAGGGGTTGATCGAGAAGGTGGACGTTCTCGGTGAGATTCCTGGTGCGGTCAAGTCGATCGTCAGCTATGTTGCTGGCACCAAGCCGTATATTTACCAGGTATGATGAACGTTTGTCGTCCTTTGGTCACCAAGCGCTAATACACCCTCAGTGGATCAACCCGGCGAAGCTGATCTTGACTGGCTCTGACGATCTTGCACCTGGCTTGTCCAGCGGGCTTGAGGTTGAGGGCCACGCTTACGTTGAGTCGTCGTACATCTCGTATTGAGTAGGAAGCTGTTGCATGTTGTACCATAGCTAGAACCTAGCATCACACATCGGAATCTGACTTATTTCACTGCTGCTTTTGCTCCCCCGCTCGTGACCAGACTGTACTTAACGATGCCGATAACCTCGACTCCTCTGCATCAGATTTAAGCATGAGATCGCCGCCCATAGATGCACACACGATCCCCGCGTATGCCGCGCGTCTTTGATGGACCAATGGTGATCGATGCCGTTCTGCCGTGTCGACGCGTCTCTCCTCGCGCCGGCTCGACCACGGCGTCCACCTTCCTTCGATTCGCAGCGGTTCTGCCCGAGTTTGTATTCGACCAGCGTCACTATTTGGAGTAGCTAGCTCCGTATGAAGCAACAGGAAGACTGCGACGGTTCCCCTTGCGGAATCGCCCTGACCAACGCGCGGAGTCATCTCGTTGACACTCAGACCGGGATGATATCCTTCCAGGGCGTCAACATCTCGACAAAGCGTTTCGGTCTTCCTCAACACAAGAAACCTTTTGCTTCTGCACAAGAGTCGATGGGGCCAAGGCAGAGGATCAGATCGAAAGCGTGGCGCATATATAGCATAGATAGGGTCAGAACTGCGGTGCCGAAGAGGCGTCCAAGTTCTGATAGGGATGTATACAGTTTGTAAAGATGTAATATCTCGGAACCAACCTCAATCAAGTGCCCCCACTAAGAGAAGAAGCAGTCTGAACGTCCGTACCTTCCTCCCAACGGCCATGAGCCATGTCCCTGCTCCGCCACCTTGCGCGCCGTCCCCCACCCTCAAGACCGTTCCAGCTCAACGCCCGTCCCTTCCAACTCAACGCCGGTGGCGTCCGCGTACATGTCTCCGCCCCAAAGCCTGAACCCCCCCGTCCGCGCAGGCTCATACGGAGAAATATCTTCTATGGCAGTTTGACTGCTATGGCGCTGCAGAGCGACCATCGGCCATCTGTGATGGCCAGGCAACATTTCCATACCACGGCGAGGAGAGAGGCCATCCCGTTCTTGGGCTTGGCAGGATTGCTCAAGGTATGAGCTTTCACATTCCAAGATCAAAGCGGCGGCAAAGTGCAGGACGAACGTGTGTGGAAGGTTGGGCGTATCTGTGCGGCTGGTGGAGGTGTGGCTGGTCCTGCACTTCGCGCTACTGCGGACTATCTGCTACGGGCGCTTGGCCCGTCTATCGTCGCATCTACTTCCGCGCGCGCTCGATGAGATGCTCATACATGATCTTCCCAGGCCTCTACGATTCTCGAAGTGATACGAGCCGTAGGACGCGTAACGCTCACATTTGTACCCTTCGTCCTGTTCAAGAACATTGTGTCGCGAAAGTACTTGAAGAAGGTCGACCAGTTCAACGAGGAGCATCCCGACAAGCCATTCCCTTTCCATCACGGCGATGAGACGAAATACGCGGAGAAGCGACAATTCCTCATACGCGGTATCCGCAGGCGCACCATCATATTCCACATGTTGATGTTCGCGCCTTTTGCACTATTCGCCCTCGCTATATTGGCGAGTATAGAGCGGACACCGCTTACGGGCCGATGGCGCACCATCTTGTTGTCTCCTGAGGAAGAGGAGGTGATCGCACAGCAACTCGCCGGCGACGGCTGGTACCGCGCTGTGGCGGAGATCTTGGCGCAGGAGGGCGTGCCTAGGCTCATACCGCCTTCAGATTGGCGATATCAATGGGTGTACAACACCCTGCGCCAGCTTGAGGGTATCATCCCTGCACTCGGCGAGGAGGAGAACTTAGCGCCTGAATGGTATGCGCGTGGTGATGAGGATCCGCCGCTACCACCGCCCGCGGAATACCCCCTCCGACCACGACCCCGAGCGAGCGAAGCTATCCGTCTTTTCCGTTGTTCAGTCACTGGCGAAGGACCGTTACCGGGTGCATCGTCACATAACATTCCTGGTCCGCCGTACTCGCTTCTCGTCATTGACGACCCCGAGTCCTGCAATGCGTTCTCGTACGGCTTTGGACCGGACGGCGCGGGCGGTATCGTGGTCTTCTCTGGATTCCTCGACCAGATCATGCGCGATAACCCATGTACACCCCCTCCGCCCGAGCCGACTTCGTCCTCCTGGTACTCCTCGCTTCTAGGCGGGAGCACGCCTCCACGCGCAGCATCTTCACCAACACCGGAGCAAACAGCCGACCTTGCAGTTCTGCTCTCGCACGAACTCTCACATCTTGTACTCGCGCATCATCTTGAGACGCTCTCGAGCAGCACAGTACTCGTCCCCGGGGTTTTCTCGATCTTCTCGGACGTCCTACGCACGCTGCTCTTTCCCTTCACGGCGCTCATGGGCCCGTTTGTGAATGATGCGCTCGCCAGTCTTGGCGCCGCGGGGAGCATCGAGGCGTCCATGTGTGGGAAGTACTGCACGACGATGAATCAGGAGATCGAAGCGGACGTCGTTTCCGCCCGATTGCTCGCATACGCGGGCTTCGATCCCCGTCGTGCGGTGCACTTTTGGGAGAGCAGGGATGACCAGTGCGTCCCGGGCGCAGGACAGAGCGTGCAGGAGGAGAGGGAACGCAGGCAGTTGGCGCAGCAGAGGCATGCGTCGAGTCCGATGGCGTTGTTTGGGGAGAGCCATCCGATCAATGAGGTTCGGGGGCAGAAGTTGAGGCAGGAGCTTGCGAGGTGGAGGGAGGAGCGCGATAGGCGGATCGAGCAGTTGCGGAAACTGCATGAGCCATAGGCGTTGCGTTACGATATACTTTCTCTTTCTCCCAGTCTCATCTTCCTTATTCACACTATCTTATTCTGGCAACTGGATACACCCAGCACCCACACATTCCTTTCGTCGCATCCACATAGCTCGCCCTCAAGTCGTCTCATACTTCCCTCCTCGTGTACAGTATCCAACTCTCAGATCTCATGTAGCGTAATCTCGGCGAACACCGTGCGCCTTCTAACTAGTGTACCTCGCTCGCCTAGATCCTGCTTCTATCTCAATTTTCCTTGTCTATATCGTTCTCGTTTCGTTTTCTATCTCCATCTCACTCCTGATCCGGACGATGATGCCCTGGTTCGTACATGTATATAGGTTGAGGATATCTGGGCTCTGCAATCTACCCCGCTTCACTCTAGGTCTATCTCAGATACCAAGTTGATCGTCACTATGAGGATCCACCGAGTAATGGTGCGTTCTCGTCGGTCGAAGAGGGGTACTTGCGCACAAGCTTGCCGGTTCGCGCTCCTCCGCCGAGATCGACTACCTCCTCGACTACTTCGTACCCGCCCCATCGGGGCAGCAATACGATCCAGAGGTAGTAATATGCTCCACATGCCTACATCGATGTGAACCGAGGATAGTGGAAGATAGAGTGACGTGGCGCACCAGGAGCACACACAGCCCCACGACGCAGTACGTGGCGTACCAGAACGACACGTCAGCCTTACCGTCCTCTGGTGGAACCCTGTCGCACACAGCAATCAGGATCGTGACGGCTACCGGTTGGTCGTGACGCTGACGTACCAAGGCATGACGAGTGAGAAGACGTTCTGCGCCAACCACACGACGAGAACAATGTTAGATGCGCTCAACGGCGCCCGGGGCATACCTGCTTCTCGTCTACGTCGTCGTAGAACCCACACGCCGACGGCCGTAGCAGCATTGAAGATCTGACACACGGGTCAGCTAGATCGTGAGATGGAGAGTGTTGGTAGCGTACGAGATGAGGATAGGACGCCAGGTCCAGTAGGAAGTTAAAGGCGTCTCGTGCGGGGAGCGCCATGATGACACAGGCGGATAGTACGAGCTTCACGAGGACGGGACCTAGTGGCGTACCCCATGGGCGTGTCGACGACAAGAGTTGGGGGAAAGGGAGGAGACCTTGGCGGGCAACTTCGCGAAGGACTCGTGCTTGACCGACAGTCTGCCACAGTTCAGTGCGTGCCAACCAAGTATGCTGTATCACGTACAATCGCAATCTACATGGACCGTGTGAGCATTGTAGTAGTCTCGTAGTGGGGAACAGAGAGCTCACGATGTTGCCTATGCAGCTCAGCGCCACCATGAGCGGCAACAGCTTCGCCGCGAGCCCATCACCGTACACATTCCGAAAAAGCAGACTCGCAACAAGTTCTCCACTTCTCTTGATGTCCTCCGCGGGCACAGCAGCAACATAGGCTACATTGACCAGCATGAACAGTACAAACACGAAAGCGAGCGCAAGCAGGGCAGCCAAACGTGCCGTGCGAGCGGGACCACGTGGGGAGCGGATCTCGCTGAGGACATTGAAGCCGTTCTGCCAACCGTAGAAAGCCCAGTTGACTTTGACGAGGGCGGTCGCGAGAGCGTTGGGGTGGGGTGTGCTGCCGCTGAAGATGTGGTGAAAGTTGTCGTATGGGTCGGATATGCGGGTGAGGCCGGAGAGGACTGCTATGCCGGTGACTGCGATGCTATGAATGGAGTCAGACACTGCAGAGTGTAAGAGCGACGACGGCGTACAATACAAGACTGAGTATCTTGAAAGTAGTGAGGATGTTGACCAAGCGGAGTGCCCACTTCGTGGAAGTGCCGACGACTGGGTGTGGATCAATAATGAGCTCAAGGCTGCCAGGCGCTGTCACTAAAGACACTGACCTCCAGCTCCGAATGCAACGGCACATAGAGCCAGCGCCGTTTGACGGCCGTTCGTGATCTCAGTATCGAATACGGTCAAAACGTACTGTGCAAAGAGCACGGAGCTAGTCCCGCTGAAGCTGTTGGAAACGATGGTTCAATTCGTGTGCGCTTGAGGCGTATAAGATGACACTGACGAGAGCAATACCGAGGTCACCGCGAAGGCGATTGGTACAAAGAACCTCGGTCGCGGGTATGCCTAGCTCAAGTTCACTCCGGGTCTTAAATATCTTGTTTCACGCAACTAACCTGCTCGAGGTAGACGACCTCTGCCCCAGAGCGATCGGGAAACATGCTTGCTAGTTCCCCATATGCCATGATAGCGGCTGTAGCATCGATTCATCTATGTTTCGAAATGGTGTGGCGTTATGACTCGGCCTACCATATGCGAAAATAGGAGCCAGCACCCAGAAGCTGAGCAGTAACCCGACCGAACCAACAGAAGCAAGCACGACCCCGGATACCGCGAAGATACCAGGACCCAATAAAGCACCCAGGTTAAGCATAACAGCAGATATTAGGGTTACCTCATGGCCGAGGGGGTTGTCCTAGGCATATACTCAGCCCCCGCCTCGAACTCACAGGCATAGATAACGAGCCTTCTCGACAGGCGCTCCGGCAATGGTTTGCACATCAGACGATGAAGCTCCGGCATGGGGTTCGTTTGGACTGTCATATACGGAGGCCGCTTTGTTTCTATTTGCATCCTCCTCGTAAGTAGCATCCATGGTGAGGTAGGAGACGAGGGTGCGCGCCGTGATGGCGGGACGAAGCAAGACGCGCTTGAACGCGTTATCGCCGTGACCGCGTCTTCTTTACATACGCGCCCAGCGGGCCGACGCGGCGCGCCCTTCGGCCAACCTTCGGCTTCCAGCGCGTCCCGACCCGAGCAGTTTCTTCTCCCCCACCACGACCACCGCACACGGTTCTGGACTATAAAAGAGAACGAAGGCGGATATATCTCCTCTATCTCCCTAATTCTCGCCCAGTCATGCTTCGCGTATTTTCTGGCCTTGCTGGCTCAAGTAAGAGTGCTGTGACTGCTACTCGCGTCCTCAGGAAGTCCTCGGAGTCCTACACTTGGCTTCAACATGCGCACGCGAGGTCCTATACCTCTAGTCCTCAGGCAGCTCAACCGGCCGTGAAGCCCAAGTCCCAGACACCCCTTCGACGATCCGCACCATCTGCGTCTCTGCCTATCCGAGAGAATCCCAAGCCGACGCGCAGCGAGATTCAGCCTATATCGACTTTAGCAACGGCGGAAAGATACATGATCATGTCTCTGCATCTGCGCTTGTCGAATGCACAACTACTACACGACGCGCTTTGGGTTCCGAAGTGGAAGGCGAACGGGTCGGACCGGGAGGGAGAGCTGTTCATCTTCGAGAACGGTAGTTTCGTGGGATGGGGGTTGACAGAGGAGGACGTGCAACTATTCCGGAAAGAGGTATTGGCTTCGTCGGGGGTAGAGATTCTGCCTCTGGCGGAACCAGAGACGGAGGAGCTCGAGTTCGTCACGGACCCAGAAGAGTAAGTGTTTAACTCTCACCGTTCCCGATTACCTTTGCTAACCCCTCACGCAGAGCTACACGTCTGCAGGGCGACCTGGTCATCCTCGGCAAACAACCTGCACCCAGCGATCCGGAAACGACACCCGCGCCGATGCCTGCCTCTGCTCTTCCAGCCGAGACGGTACTTGCCCGTTACGCCTTCTCTCAGGCCCTTTCAAGGTCAACGGCGCTTTCCGTTCTCGAAGTCAGGCTAGAAGAGCATCTGACCTCCATGTCCGGCCTCCCATCCGTACTGCAAAAGACCGGCCGTCCCGGCATGAACCGCCGCGCTCTCATCCGCAAGCTCGGCGAGCTCCTCAAGTTCAGGCAAGGCTTGAACTTGAACCGCGGCAACTTCTTCGATACACCCGACTTCTACTGGGCTGAGCCCGTTCTTGAGCGTTATTTCAACTCATTGAGTAACGCTCTGGAGGTTAAAATGCGTATCCGTGGTGTCAATGAGAAGATCACGTATGCCGCTGAGGTTTGTGGCTATCTCCAATCGTCTTCGAATAGCGACTGAATGCGCCGTAGATGCAATCTGTCCTTCGCCAGTTGCTCACCGAGACGTCTGCCGCCCGAATGGAGATCATCATCATCCTACTCATCGCCGTCGAAGTTGTCATCGTAAGTACTCCTTGCGAGTGATTACACGCATTACTAACCGGTCCTAGGTCCTTGTGCGCGACGTTCCGGAGTTCTTCGAGGAGAAGAAGGAAGAAGAGCGCATTCGTGAAACCCTTGCTTAATCTACTATTATTTCTTGAACACATCGATCTTCGCATGTATTGACGCCCATTCACACCACGCCACTCATCGCACACTACCAATAGCGCACCACTCATACCCATCCCAACACATCTCACCACTCACCCATGTAGACTAGACCCGCATTGGTATACTACACTCAATAATGTCCAGGATGATGCGTAGATTCAATTTATTGTTATACAACTTGGTATTGGCGAGCGGTAACACTCGACGCGTCTCATGGGCATGCCTCCCACTTCTCGAACTCCTTCGCATACGCCACCCATCTTCCACCATCAAGTTTCGCCACAGCTGTCCAAAGCCCATCCTCCTCCTTCCCAACAAGTAACATCACCCACTTGAGCGTCGCAGCAATATCCACGTCCGCGAAGCACGGCTCCTTGCCCATCAAGAACGGCCCCTCCTCTCCGCCGGCGTCGATCCACTGGCCGATAGCATGCAGACCGTCGAGGATGCTGCGGAAGGTGGCAGCGCGTTTCGCACCGGGTGGCACGACATCTTCCAGAGCCATACCGAAGACGGACTCTTCCCGCGTGCGGCGCCAGTAGGCGTTGCTTTCCGGTGACATTTGGGCGATGTTCTGGAGTAGGACCGATTTGACCATGTTGCCACGCGCACGTTGCTCGAATGCATCACGGAAGCCGAGCTGTACAAACACGCGCATCAGTCTCTTGTATGAAAGTGCAAAGGCTCAAGAGCGCACCTGCAGCGTTCGAGTACCCGGCGGAAAGAGTGTCGGCGTAGACGGATTAGGATACGTCTTCTCGATGTACTCAGCAATCGCGAGTGAGTCCGCAATTGCAGCGCCGGTATTAGGGTCTACCAGGCCGGGACATGTGTAGAGATCCTTCCCTGCTCTCGTCCCCGTAGGCGCGATGCCTGCCTTCTTGAACTCCGGTTCGATTTCGAGGTAATCGACCCAAACGGTCTTGTAGGGTACACCCTTGATGTTCAACGCATACCTAAGGTCTTGGTCAGTATGGCCTGATAAGTCGTGATCTTGCGTTATCTGACCTAGCCTCTGCGTAGGTCATCAGTTGATCTGACGCGCTTCATAGGGCAAGATATGATGCTCACTCCAGCAATTCGGGCTCCATGCCTTCTTGTCCCATGAAGTGCCCGGAATATCGTAGAAGATGAGAGGTTGAATGGTCATGGTGGTCTCTGGAACGTGAGCGGGTTCGAGGAGAGCTTGCCAGGCATGTTTTGTGCGGGTCAGCTGGCGGGTCTTCTAGAGAGATCTATGAACATCACACAAGAAGGCCAAGAATCCCGGAATCGGGGATATCACAACCTTCCCGATGCCTTTCATCCTCCGTCAATCACAGGGCGTATATCGTAGTCATCGTTTCTGCAGTAACACGAAGAAGCGAGTCTCGTATCATGCGCGCACAATACCATACAACCCATGGTGGATGGTGGTCAGGGCCCGAAAGTCGCCCGATAGCGCGAGTGCGGCCCGTCAAGCCGGCCATGTCGCGGCTCGCCCAAGCCCGAAGACGCGAGAAGTCACAACGTGACCGTGTGCAATGATGGACATGCTGCGCCTCGAGGCTTCCGCGAAGCGTCCCGCGTCTTGTTTCCTGCACTCATGCATTCGGGCGGCGGCGGTTCGGCACAGTGATACTCGAGGGATCTGCGTCACTGGTGAGACTGCTGCGATCAGATGCTGTATCGCTGATGTGGTGACCCATGTCAACTGTCTTCTCCAGCCGCCATGGATCCGCAGAAGCTTCTGAACGATCTTGCAAGGCTCGCTGATAATCTCCGTGCAGCCGTGAGCGCATTGCCTATTGCTACTCTCGATGGAGCCGAGAGGAAGGAACACATTTTGGACGCATGCAATAGGTCTGGCTTCTATAGTTGGAGACTTCTGAACTATATCTTATCATGATTCTCTGACAGTGTCGCGCAACCTGCGCCGGCTCAGCTGAAACTTCCCATCCCACCTAACATACTGGAACCATCTTACCTGCCGCGGACATGTATCGGTCTTATTGGAAGTGCGCGACATGGCCCGCACGTCTCTGTAAAAGAGCTCACAAGCGCTCCTTCGCAGGTACTGGTTTAGGCAAAAGCACTCTTCTATCCGGAGTCTTGGGCCGTAAGCCTTCTTAACTTCGCTTGCTGACGCAAACCTTAAGGCCTCATATCATCACAGGGAACATCTCATCTGCTGACTCCGTCAAAAGTTCATATCTTCATGCTCGCTCGCTGTGAGATCCTGAAGCCGTCGTAGGAGGGACCGCAGTGCCGACGATCGTCATCTACCACCCACACGAGCGCATTGAAGCCTCGCTGACTTTCATGCCATTGAAAGAGGTCCAAAAGAAGATAGAGAGCACATTCGAGCTGCTCGAGCCAGATGAGAGCGGACGTCTCATGTCGAACGACGACCTTAATCAGGACCCTTCGTACAAGTTGGTATGTCCTACTTGCTGATACAATACGTGCATCTCATGTGCGTAGGTCATTGAAGCGTTTGGTCTCACCAAGAGGGATCTCATGGGTATCAAGAGGCGACCTGGTGAGGCTGCTGAGGTCGAACCAAAGTCGCCGCTCGAGATAGTCTTGCAACTACACCCAGGCAAGCTCCTGCCACGTGAGTAAGACGTTGCATCTTGCTAAGTGTAACTATTCCAGAACTTGTCGGACTATTGGGCACGACCGTGAACGTCACTGGGGAGAATGAGGCGGACTTTCTAGCCGCTCTGGCACCGTACATGGGATCTCCCGGACGTCATAAGGGGTTGAAGAAATGGGCCTTCCTCACATCTCTGGTAGTCAAATGCAACGCCGAAGCCGTCTCGGGTGGCTCCATCCTTGTGGACTTCCCCGGTTCTGGAGACTCGAGTAGCATCGTTCTCCGCGCGATCGAGAAGGTCGAACAATGTCTCGATGTCAGGCTTCTCGCTGTCATGCCCCAACGCGCCTCGACTGAGGCTGTGGTCAAAGGTATAGTGACCTGCCTTGATTCTATGCCTACAGCGACGGCATACTGATCGTGGATTAGAACACATGGACAACGAGATCAGACGCCGGAGGGAGAATCGTGCGTCTATCCGATCATCTCTTCCCGTACTCTTTGATGACTGAATACAACTTTAGATGTGTGAGACTTGCGCAGCTTGTCTGGTTACTCTATCACGCTGACCGGACATGCTGTTCGAATTCAGAGCTGAACTACCCGGAGAAGAGCATCGCGAGAAACCAACTCCTGCGAGTTCGAGTGGTCTCGCTATCATCCGTAAGTCGCTCTATGCGCTTGCTGGTGGTAGCCGAATGACCCATACTGACCACACCCGTCAGTGACGCAATGTGATATACTCACTCGTTCGAAGGACGACCACAAGTTGATCCAGGATCTCGAGAACCATGAAGACATTAGCGAAGTCCTGACACAAGATGCCGATTATAATACGAACCTCGAACTGCTCAAGGATGTTGAACTCAAGCATTCAGAGCGGGTTCAATACGTAGAGGGCCTTCGTAACGAACAGAGTGAGCACTCCGCAACAACTAGCGATATCTATTGACTTAACATCTGCATGTCTTCTAGGCGGGTCCAATCAGGCCTTCAAACGTCCCCGAGCGTCCGGATTTCGGTATGATAATATGCTGAATGAACATGATTCCGATGAAGATCGGGACGACGACCACGACCCTAAGATTCGCGAAGCCGTCAGAGAGGAGAAACAGTGGAGGAAGCGTTGCGATCAACATAGGGCGCAGCGGCGCATTTCCGTCCTTCGTGCACGCTACTTGGTGCGTATAACCTGCTGCGATAACAACACGAAGTGGTCTGGAGTTGACATACGAATGTCAATCAGGTTTCAGGAGCGAGTGTGAGGCGGAGGTTTGGCGATCTTGTTCTTCAAGAGAGGCAAGACCGTGATCAGTTTGACGCCCGTAGGTCTCCTACCTCTTTGCTCTTGCGGCCCTAAGTTAAACTCGCTAGAAGTGGGGGAAGATGCGGTGGATGATGAGGAAGACTTCTCGCTCCCTGTTTTTGCAACCAGCGCTGCGGACTTTGAACAGGCGCACCCCTCTGGAGATAAAGGTGCCGTTCAAACACCCTCACCAACAGTGCTTCACGATTGACCATGTTTGCTCTCAGCTCTTGAACAACAGACCGGTGTTCCTGCTCTACGAGCATTTATACGTCATGCAGGAGCGCGCGCTCAGTATCGAGCCGTTCTGGATCTCCTCCAGCCTTTCCGCGCTGAAGTACAATCAACACACCTACTTCTGACTGCGAACGATAGCGAGACTACAGGAGATAGACTGGCACGTCAGAAAGAGCGACTCAGGGAACGATGGGCCACTCCAACGGAGGATGCACCGGCTGGCCGTACGTAGCTGTTCTTCTACCGATGTCCACGCCAGTGATGAACGAATCATCCGCACAGCTTCCTCACGGCTCCCAGGATCGCTCAGAGGCAAGGGCGATAGTATTCGTAACAGCTTGGTCAAGGTACGCATGGTACATACGTATACCAAGCACAGTGCTGACACCGAGACCGAAAACGGCAGGCATTCGAGAAGAGTACAGAGGCCGAACTGGAGAATGCTCGAGATGAACTGGAGAAACTCAGGGACACTTGTGAGAAAGGGGCCAGGAATGTAAGTGCCTTTTCTACTACACATTAAACCCCATATGTAGTGAATACTCTTTCCAGGCAAGAAAGGCAGCGCGCAAGATGGTTGAAGCCCTTGTTAACGTCAAGATGCACTATGCTAAACATCGTGCTGGTATGCAAGCCCGTCTCCTTCCGTCCGTCGCACTCGGACTCAATAGCGTTCGATCGCAGTGTTTAGGCATCACGGTATCTACGAAGAAATTGAGGATTACAATGTCGCTTTGGCGCAACCTCTCATCGACGCTGTCAACGAGGCCGTTGGCGGTTACTCGGGCTCAGGAAGTCTCGGCGCCCTCAGAGCCAGCCTGATCCAAGACGGGGCGAATGTGTTCGACGAGGTTCTCAAGTCTGCCAAGAACTGCGACGAGGGTCTTCGTGGCGAATTACACGCACGCATCTCACAGTCTCGGGGCCACCTAAAGAGGGAGCTTGAGCAGTTGAACCGGAAAGGGAACAGCATCTTTTGGAACACTCACGATCGCTCGTCCGTCGCTCATTTCCGTGACGAGATGGTAGACCGCCTTGAAAAGGACTACGACATATCCGCCGGTCCGCGTTTCATTGGCACGGGTCGTGGGAGTCCAGCCAGGATGAAGGTCAGCAATAGTATACGTACGCACGCAAGCAACTGATCGGTCATCCAAGGCATTCTTCGTGGACGCTGTAGACAGCCTCTCTAAGACCATGTTCGATGAACTCGCCCGTGACCTCGTCGAGTACCAGTACGAGGTTTTGGACGAAGTGGGGGCCCTGATAAAGGAAACATACAGTCGGGCTGCCGCACAGGTAAGTTGGGGGACACACGTCTTCAGGTCTCTCAACATGTTCTCACCCGGACCATACCAGTGCGAGATGGAGATATCGAATGCTTGGGTCGTCCCCGAGCGACAGCCGGTCATGTCGGCGCGCGAGCAAGCCGCGAGGGCAGTTGCCGATATCGAGCGCCAGCTGTCGACAATGGAAAGAGAGCTGATCGAGGAGATGCGAAGAGCTGAGGAGAATGTCCCAACCTGTCACCCACCTCCATTCGATCGTGTTGCGCAATGAGGAACAACATCTTCTGAGGATATCTGTATCTGTATCTCACGTGTATCACTCTCTGTCCATCGTACATGACTACGCATTGTACCTACTCCACCACGATTCTTACTCTATAGCTGCTCCATCATGTTGTACAACCCGATGTACTTGTACTATCACACATACGGCGAACCCTTGCCCGCATTGAGCACTCGAGGCCATGTGCCCTCAACTTGCACATCACACAGTAAAGGACCACTGAAAGGACTGCATTCCCAGAAGGGGGTATCTAACAACGAACAATACAACAAAGCAATAAAAATCGCTCAGAGCACACCCATCGAATCAACCTCCTCACGCGCTAGCAGCAGTCGTCTGCGCCTGAGCATTGCACTGCGTCTGCTGGTCGCCGCACGCCGTGACGGTGAGGTCACCAGAGTTGCCGCTCGAGTTGGCGGCGTTGGCGCACTTGTTGTGCTGGACGTCGCACGAACGGACGAGCGCGTTCTGGAGGGAGCTGAAGGTCGCGTTGCCGTCGACGGCGAAGGGCTGCGCGCCGGAGCCGGTGTCGGTGACGGCGGGAGCGGTCACGCCGCCGAGCGAGCCGGTGAACTGCTGGAGGTTGGCGCCAGACGCGGAGCCGGTGCTTGCTGCAGCGCTGGTTGCGGCGGCAGCGGCAGCGGTCGAGGTGGCGGCGGCAGAGGTCTCAGCGGCAGCGGCAGCAGTGGTCGTGGCAGCAGCGGCAGCAGCAGTCGCGGACGAAGCGGCGGGGGTAGCAGCGGCGCCAGCCTGGATGGTGCTGCAGAGCGGAATCAGTATGGCGCGTTAAAGCAGATGTGCAAGGAAGACGACGAACCTGCCCTGGTCAGATATCACAGCAAGGGAAGCGAAGTTGGTCGTGATACCGAACGCAGCGTTGAAAGCGTCAGCCTGGGCACCAGTCTTTGCCGTCTGACCGTCGGCGGCAGCGATAGCAGTCTGGCACGTCGCCTTGGCCGTGTCGTCCGCCTTGCACGAGTTGGTGAGGGTGTCGCAGATGAACTTGGTGATGATGTCGATGCCCTGGGCCGAACCGTGGTTGAACGACGTCTTGTCGACCGGCTGGAAGGAGGTCTCCTTGCGGTTGTCGAAGCCGGCGCCGAACTCGATCTGGGGGACCGAGCACGAGCCGAAGTCGCCGATGTCACCAGACGCGGTGGAGGCGGCGGCGGAAGTCGTGGCTGCAGCCGCGGCAGCGGTCGTGGTCGCAGCGACGTTGGTTGCAGCGGCACCGGCCGTCACAGTGACCGTGACAGCGGTCGGGCAAGGGTCAGCGGCGTTGATGGCGACAGCGGTGGTTGCCGCAGAGGCAGACGAGGAAGTGGTGGCCGAAGCGCTGGCAGAGCCAGTCGAGTTGCTCGCTGTCGTGCCATCACTACCGAAGGGGAACGTGTTGGCCTGGTCGCCCTTGAGAACGGTCTTGCCAGTCGCGGGGTCGAAGAAGTGCGTGTCGTCGTTAGCGGGGTCCTGAGCCTGAACTAGGCCGTTGAGCTCCGCGTTCTTCGGCGCCTTCTGGCAGAAGACGGAGTTGCGGTTGGTAGGCGGGTTGGTCGTGAAGTCGGGGGACGTGTTCTTCTCCGCCTGACGGTACTCGACGGCGAGGGCGATCATGTTTTGCTTGGTAGCATCGTCGAATTGCTGAGCGGCATCTGATGCGCAGGCGGATATTAGCGTCCGGTTGATAACACGAATCAGTCAGAAGGCGTACCGATGATGCTGTCGGCCATGTCCTGCTGGGTGCATTCACCCTGGGCGGCGAGCAAAGGCGTGATCGCCTGACCGGCGAGGTTACCGCAGACTGCGCCATCGCAAGCTGCGCTGAGCTTCTCAATGACAGCGGGGTGCTCCTGGCCGAAGCGGCGCGGGTGGAGGAGAACGGCGCGGTTGTCACGCTCTGCCCAGCGAATGCGAGCGTCGGCGGGAGCGGAAAGCGCGAGGAGAGTAAGGGCGCAAAGAGCGGAGAAAGATTTGCTGAGCATGTTGAGAGAAAGATACGGATGAGCGAAGGGATGGATTTGTCGTTTAGTAAAGGTGAACCGAGGAACTAGCCCGAGGTAGAAGGGGTAACAATGAATGGAAGGGACACCTGGTCAAGAGAGGGTAGACGGAGAGAAAAAAGGCCGTTCAACGACGCAACGACAAGCTGCAGACCTGACAGTGGGAGACAAGCAAAGCTGAGGAGGCACGTCGGAGGAACCGTCGTTTATGTAGTGCCTTCGAGGAGGCAACGTTGCCGTCGCCAAGCAGACGGCGACGGGCCGGGAAGGGGCCGTGTGCTCATTGAGCCCGGAAAAAGATGAAGGGCAACGAGTCCCGTCGCCAGGTCCGGGTACGGTGGGAGCGACGACGTCGTCTCGATGACGGGACGGTCCATGTGCACACCAACAGCCGCCAATATAATCTTCGGCGCACGATGATACGGCGCTAGGCAGGCGGAAATATTTACCAACTTTGATGTCTGTAAAACGTGTCGCTCTATGCTACATCCCCGAAGGTGTGATAAGCAGGCGTAGCGCTGCAAGATAAACGTCTTCAATAGATGAATAGCGGGTTACAAGGGGAAGAGGAGAGCTCTAAGATAGCTACATGATGGTCAGAAACACGGATATCGTGGTTGGTCGAGGCGGCTCCAGATTCGGCGGGCGGGAGTCGCGGGACGAGTCGGAGGCGTGCGAATTGCACGCGCCTTAGGCCGTTGGACGCCGTGTCGCGCGTTGGACTCGAACCAAAACGATGCTCGCCGCCGCCCTCCGCTCTCCCCGCAACGTCGCCACCGTCGCCCGCGCCAGCGCACGTGCCTCGCGCGCCGCGCTCTCGACGTCGGCCATCCGCCGCGAGGGCCATGTCTACGCCCCCACCACCTTCGGCCCGGGAGCGAAGGCCGGCGAAATCCCCACCGACCAGGCTCAGTCCACCGGTCTCGAGCGTATTCAGACCTACGGAAACCTCCAGGGTGTCTCTGTCTTCGACTTGGAGCCGCTCGACGCCAGCCGTGTCGGTACCTTGAAGGACCCGATCATGGTTTTCTCTACTGTATGTCCAATGTTATATCCACTCGTAGAGAAATAATACTCACTAATATGCCCTCATCACTTTCAGTTCCCTGAGCGCATCATCGGCTGCACTGGCTGCCCCGCCGAGTCACATGAGACTCTTTGGTTCAAGGTTACGACTGAGGAGACCAAGCGCTGCCCTGAGTGTGGTTCCGGTTCGTGGCGAACGTCCAGTTTATCCTCACACCCGACTAATTCGATGCATTGAACAGCTTACGCGCTCGACTACGACCACTCCATCAACGAGACCATCAAGGTCGAGTCGACCGACCCCTTGCCGGAGGAGCACCACGGCCATGCCCACTAAACTATAGAACCGTGTTTGCTGTGGATCTCATGTCGCGGGTACATTAATATGCGCTTATTCAATGGCTCTGCGTCGAAGATATTGCATGCATGACTGTTCTATCAGTCGATGAGTTGACGCAGGATTCTCTCGCTTGACATGCTTCCCTTCATGTCGGCGCTGTCGGCGTTGGCTGTGACCGAGTCCGCATGGTCGTACTCGCAGTCTGCCCATGACTATCTGTCTTTACACCGTCCCGACCTTCGTCAGGAGAAGATCCGTCCCATTCAGTACCACACATGCGTTTGTACGCTCTCAGCCATCCCACAAGGGTGTGGCTTTGCGTAGACTCTGCTCACGTCTCTTGCAGACCGAGACAGCCGTCCTGAAGCCCGAACGCCAATAACTCGCACTATCATATGGCTTCGGCGCGGTTCTGGGTGTATATGGATTATATGTGAGACGGCCAGTACACAGTACGGACACGGACCTCTAGATCCTGGACCCTGTACAACGGATCCCGCTTCCATCGACGACCGCCGCGACACGCGTTACCAGCACCTTGATGGCCTTCTCGAACAGCGACCTGACCGCCCTGGCGCTCAATTGAGTGAAAGACCGATCATGGACCTGTCCCTTTCGATGCGCGGCGAACGAGGACGTCGTGTACTGCACGAAATTCCGGTACTTCCCAAGATCTCAGAGGGAAACAAAGCTCGTATCCGAGAGCATGCCGTTGGAATTGCTTTTTTCACGCGCTCTTCATCCGCGTTACGGGCCGGTCGCTGAAGGGGATGACGGTTACCGAGCTCGTCGTTGGTGATCACCATGCCGACCCGCCCAACGAGCACGCTGGTCCTCAGCACAATCGGCGAGGATGATGCAGCGCAGCCGCCCATTGGTTCGTGTAACACGTTTCCGCGTCCGGCCCCGCCGTCCGACGTCCAGCCCTGGCTCCTGAGGCACGCCAGATATTTCCGGCATGCAACTGCGTGGGTTTTGTTCGGTTCTTGTCGCTCAAGGGACACGATAGATTGCACGACGGGAACGCGAGGCGGGCTTCGTAAACCGTCCGGAGGGAAGGTGGGCGTACGTATATAAAGTGCGCATGGGGAGGAGGAGGACTTCTTCAACCCTCTCTGGTCTCTCTCCCTGGCGGTTTAGGTTTTGGTTCTCGGCTCCGTTTATCTCTTTGGTCAAGACAGGTTCTTGTTTGTTCACTCCTTACAACAACACTTTCTCTCGGCATGTCCTATTCTACTTGCCGCTGTGTAGTTGCAGACGCTAACAAATGGTGTCTGTAGTCCCGGCGGCACTTCTCTACGCGCTAGTCCTCAACATGTTCTCGTACAAGACCCTCCTCCTCGCCATCTCCCTTTCGGCCCATCTGGTGGCTGCAGCTCCCTTCGGCGGAATCCAGCGCCGCGAGGTTCCTCAGGGTAAGTCTGCTTCTTTCGATATTCTGATGCGTGCATCGGCGAGCTAACGCGCCATCACAGAGCACTCTCATGAGGCCATCCTCATCGACATTCGCAAGCTGATGGCCATCAGCAACCCGCAGAACCTTGGTGACCCGGTCTTCGGTCTCCTTGGTGCCGCGGCAGCCGCCGCCGGCCTTGGTCAGACTACCGTACGTCTTCTTCGATCCTCATCCTGTTTCATCTTGTGCTTAGGCTGACAATGCCTTGCAGGACGCCAACTGTCTCCAGCAGGCGACCGCCGACCAGGCCTTCACCAACGCCAAGGCTTCCAACGATGTTGCCGGCATGACGAGCGCGCTCATCTTCCGTACCCTCGAGCGGAACTCGGGCTCCGTTGGTGGCGCGTCCCCCAACTGCACGTCCGTCACGGCTGTCAACCCCGAGATTGCGGCGCTCGCTCAGCACCAGGACCCCGCTGGCTCTGGCGCACAGGCGTTCAACAAGAACCTTGTCCTTGAGCTTGCGAAGCAGATCGCCTCTATTGGCGGCACGCCCACGGACGCGCTCAAGTCCGGCACGTTCGCCCCTGGTACGATCGGCGACCCGACTGCTAAGGGTAATACTTGTGACGACGCCAATGACACTGCGGGATGCATTGTCTCGCAGAACCTCCTCGTTGAGGACGCTACTGAGGATGAGATCAACGCTGCCGTTGCGGGTACGAGCACTAGCACGGACACTTCCGGTGATGCTACGGACTGCCCCGCTACCGCCACCGTGACCGTCACGTACGTCTTGCTGCACTTCTAGCGCCAGACTCCTGCTCATCGTACTCATATAGCGTCGGCGCCACTGCCACTGCTGCTGCTTCGACCACGACCGCTGCTGCCGCGGCCGCCACGACCACCGCTGCTGCCACCTCGACCAACGCCGACATCGGCAACTTCGGTTCTTGCTCCGTTCCGCAGATCGAGTTCGGCGCTGGCTTTGACGGCCGCAAGGAGACCTCGTTCGAGCCCGTCGACAAGACGTCCTTCAACCACGGCTCGGCCCAGGGTATCGACATCATCACCAAGTTCATCTGCGATACCCTGACGAACTCTTGCGGCGCGGACGCGACTGCCAAGGCCACCTGCGCGAGCGCCATCACCGCCGCTGACGGACAGACTGCCAAGACTGGTGCCCAGGCCGACGCCTTCAACGCCGTCTTCGGCATCACGACCAACTTCGCCGACACCCCCGCCATCGACGACCAGGGCAACTTCGTCGCCGGCACTGGCAGCGCGACCGCCATCGCCACCGGCGGTATCGGCAACTTCGGCTCGTGCACCACCCCTCAGATCGAGTTCGCCACCGGCTTCGATAACCGCAAGGAGACGTCGTTCCAGCCCGTCGACAAGACCTCGTTCAACCACGGCTCGGCGCAGAACATCGACATCATCACCCAGTTCATCTGCGATACGTTGACGAACTCGTGCGGCGCTGATGCGCAGGCTAAGGCTACGTGCGCCAGCGCGAAGGCTGCTGCTGACACGAAGACGGCGAAGACGGGCGCTCAGGCTGATGCGTTCAACGCTGTGTTTGGAATTACGACCAACTTTGCTGCTGTCGCTACTGTAAACGACCAGGGCGTTACGGTTTCTAAGTAGGGTTCGGGCATGTTCTAGTTTGTAGTACCTTTTTTCTTTGGGTTTTACCGCTTTCAGGTGTACTAGTATACCTCTTGGAGTCTTTGATACCATTTCTTGGCCGTCAACTACCGCGCTGTGTGCAATGAGCGAACAAACGAGAGTACATGACTGCAAGCGGGGTCGGCGAGAGTGCCGCATGGGTGCTTGTATGCGCTTGTGGATGGTACTGATCCGGAGCCGAAGGTCAGCTGCCGAACGCGGTCGCGTGCCTTTGCATCTTGCTCTGTACTTCCATGGCACGCTGCATTACATGCATACGCTATCATGCATCTTCCTATTATAGCAGATCGCGAGACTTCAGGGCGAGTTGGACAGTAGGACACGACCTGACAGACGCGCTCCCCGCCGCCGCTGCCAGCGCTAACGGGCCCCGGTGCCCATAATACTACGGCAATCGCATACCGCTCTCCACCAGCATTGCGCGAAAAGTGGCGGCCAAAAGGAGCATAAGAGCTATTTGCGGAATGGGGTATGAACGTCCCGCAGCAGTTGAAACCCTCGCTTGATACGCGATGATGCGTGGAGCTTCTAGTGACAGGGTTCGGAATGCATGTCGCTCTCACCAAGCGAGCAGCGGCCGTGTTCAGCACGCTCTAACGCTTTCTCTTCTTCCGCCCTCATGCAGCCGTACGAGCAGCCCGTACTAGATCGCGTCTTGACAGACTACCACTCTCCTTCATCTGGGTATCCGCGTCCTCGGCAAAGTCTCGAGGCTTTTACTACAATTCCCTTGTCCAAGACTATTACCAACTCTTCCACAATTTCTTCAAGTTCTACGACCAATCTTCTCCCACATGACTCCACTTCGTTTCGACGGGCATCGCGCTGGCCATGGCAGAACTCCAGCGGTTCTCCTGATCGCGAGAAACTGTTCCACACGCCGTCTTCATCTACGGATTCCAAACTTGAACCCAAGATGAAGCCTTGGCAGGGGTGGACGACTGTACTCTTTGGCTCATGTGCGTAGTCATTATCTGTTTTTGCATGCATAACCTTATGGCGTATCACAGGGATTAATGTGTTGTTTGTCTTCTTCCCCGCATCCGTGCGTCGTTCTTCCATGCACAGCCCGTCTTGCTGCTCAAGGAGCTCTAGTGGCTTGTGAACGCTCTCGTTGAGAACTCGGAGACACTTGTCTTCACGTGTGAGCAAGACCTTCCCTGCTTACCCTTACACCTATGTACACTGCTGACTGGTCTCCAGTCTGTATCTTCGCGATGATCCCACTTGTGAGGGTACGTTCATGACCCATTCACCACACAATCATCCCTCAAAGTCCATAGCTTCACGACTTGACAATGCGAGAGCTCTCGCTCAGGATGGGCGGAGCGAAGACGGGATTCATCAACGCGAGTTTGGTGCGTACTGTTCCGGGCATTCTCTGACCTCTACTGATATTCCTTAGAGTAACCTGTAAGCCCGACTGCATCTGCAATAGGATGGTGCTGACGCAGATCATCATGTCTACAGCATTGAGCTGGTTGTCGCCGTACGGTCTTCCTTGTGTCTTGTTTGTGCATCATCTCATCAGGTCTTAGACGACAGCGGTCCGCAAGTGCCAACTTCGCGTTGTTCAAGCATCCCGTAAGACATCACGCATGCTCTCATAGAGTATCTCCCTGACTTTCACCAGTCATTGGCTCCCTTCTTAGCAAGCTCCTGCTTGTACTTGGTCTCTGCTTCTTCGCTGGCGGCTTGCGCTTTACGCAACAGGAAGGATTCGACCCGAGTAAGCCGCTCGCTGACTACGATGCATGCAATCTTTGACCTCCGGCGCTCAGCTACATCGCAGATCCATTCAAGCTTGCTCAGCATCAGTGTTGGCGCAGTTCTCATGCCGGCGGCCTACCACTTCTCCCTGAGCGGCGGTACCAACAACGCGTCAGACTTCCAAAAGACCAACATTCTCAAGATGAGCCGCAGCGTGGCCATCATTCTTCTCGTCGGTAGGAAAGCCGCGCGATGCTCTGCTCCCATTTTGACTGACGTTTGACCTAGTCTATATGCTATATCTCGCTTTCCAGTTCTACTCTCATAGCTATCTCTTCAAAGACAATAGCACCAGCGCGCGACACGAAGTCAAGAACCCTTTGCAAACTATGCGTTCCTTCCGCTCCATGCGTACAGGAGCGTCCACTCCAGAGAAGAAGTCCAGGCCGAGTAGTCCGACCGACACAGTCACTCTGCGCTACTCTAAGTCTGGCACGCTCAACACTCCAACGGGGGCACCGATGCTTTCACCATACTCTTCTGCATCGGATATATCGCTGCCTTTGACTGGATCTCCGTCGACAGACAGTGAGGACTCCACCACTCGCGTCTACGGCAGAACAACGGCCGCGCAGCCAGCTCCGACGCAAGGTGCCACTGTCAGGCTTGTACGCCTTCACGGGTCACCAGTTCCTGCTACACCACTTCCCAACGACACTCGTCATCCCAGTCCAGTACGACTTGACGATGCTCCAGAGATCGCAGCGCTCGAGGCTGCCGGAGACGCAGAGGCGTTGTCCCACCATCCGCGATTAAGCTACCCCGTGACCATCGTGACTCTTATTCTCGCTGCTGTGGTGAGTATCGTCTTGTATCGAGTGAGGCGTCATTGACCGTTCTGTCTATAGTTGGTCTCGCTCAATGCCGAGCGCCTCGTTGAGGCGTTGGACATGATGGAGGAGACAAATCCGAATATCAGCACGGAATGGATCGGTCTCATTGTGCTCCCGACTGTCAGCGTCATCGCCGGTCAGTTATCCACCGCCGTTCTCTGTCTGCTTGACGCTGACCAGGGAACACAGAATGCATCACCGCCATGAACGTCTCGCGGAATGATCAGTTGACGCTCAGCATTAGCGTTGCGGTCGGCTCTTCTATCGTGCGTCGATACTATTGTCTCTTCTCCCGCTGCTTGCTAACTCCCTTATCTGCGTTCAGCAAACCGCTTTGTTTGTGATACCGTGCGTTGGATCCACTGTGTCGGCTCATATGCTGACAGGTATGCGACAGGCTAATGGTGATCTTTGGCTGGGTTCTTGACAAGCCCATGGCGCTCCTCTTTGATCCGTTTGAATCAGTGGTACTATTCATCTCAGGTGAAGCACTACTTAACTACGCATGCTATTCAGTAAGCTCACATGGTTCTAGTGCACACAATGGGTTACGTTATCGCTGATGGCAAGTCTAATTGGTTGGAGGGCGCTCTTCTCATCTGTACGTACTACGAGAGGCAATCCTTCTTCGCCAGACCTGACGAGCTTCACAGGTCTCTACGTCATCATCGCTGTGTCCTTCTGGTTCTACCCTGGCTCGACGTTCTCAAGCACTCTCGGAGTGTGCGCGGTAGACCCGACTACAGTCTGAGTCTTCTGTGCTGGCCCTCTCGCCACCGGCTTCTACCGTCTCCATCATCATGGACACACACTCCGCGCTCGCACTGTAGCATAGCACCATGGACGCTCTATACCTTCCGCAACCTCCTCAGACTTCACATTCTCCTTTGTGCATACCATACTACATTATACCGGCAGTGCCGTTTTATTGTTGCGTCTTTCTTCTGCGTAGATTTGTAGATCATCATATCGTCATTGTTATAGAATGTCATACGGATGTCCGTGGATGTTATGAGTATGCGTGAAAACAGCAGCGAAAGCAAGAAGTTCCTTGATGTAATGCAGAGATGAGATATGCTGGATGTAGTAGATGTTTTGGGGTTTAACTGAGATAGTAGCGGTCACCTGACAACATGTAAGTCGGGAGCGTCGATAAGCATGCAGAGCGCACGACGCTTACCGATCTGGCCCATACCGGGCTGGATGACCCATGCCTTCTGACAGTTCTCTTCGCTGGGCGAGAGTATATCGTCGTCGGCCGGGTCCGTGTTCTCAAGCCACAACTCGCGCAGCCCTTCATCCACGGCGCCAGTCACGATGTGTACCTCCGGGAACGCGCGGCGCAGATGCGCGATGCCGCCTCGGCGCGCAACGAGGAATGTAACGAAGATGATGTGATTCTGCTTGATGCCATGGTCGAGCAAGACACGGATAGCCATGAATGCCGCAGCGCCCGTACCAATCTACCGACAGCCTGTCAGATCATGAAGGTTCTACTCGTCAACGGGCGCTCTCACCTGGGCGTCAAGGAGGAAGACCCAAGTGTTCTCCGCCTTTTTGCGCTCGCGTATGCAGACTGGCAACATTACGTGAAAGAGCATAGGCTCCCCTGTGTTGGGATCGGACTGGACGAGTAGGGAACCGATTGCGACATCGTTGATAACACGACGAAGACCGATCTCTAGTGGGCCACCGCTTGAGGGCGTATAGGTTAGTCTCGAAACATCTCAAGCTGATAGCGGGACGCACGATCGCAGGATTGTTACTCCGCAGACAGCCTGTATTGGTATGCTATGAGAGATTGTCCGAGCTTGTTTGAAACGTAACTTACCTCTGCGTCAATCTCCTTCCCAACGGCTTTGACACCGACAGGCGTCTCAACAACCTTATCCCGGTATGGTAGTTTCTCCATCGCCTTCTCAACCAGTAGTGTAGACAGACGGTCAGAGAAGAAGATGTAGTCCTCGCGGTTAGTCGTCTGGTCGCGAAGGATGGTATACATTCCCTACGTACAAGCGATCAATCTCCTGCAAACATGCTATCAAAGATGAACGAAGACCTGCCTTGATCTGGGGAGTTTGCTCTACCACGGTAAGACCGAGCTCCTGCTCAGTCAGATCCCGAGGTGGTCCATATGGGTCACTCGAGAGCGAACGCTTCAAGCTTGCGGCCATCTTTCGGCGGAATTTGCGCGAGCGCGAGTCGAGCTGTCGCCGGATGTGCGTCGAGATGAGTTCGATGGCAACGCTGTTGTCATGTCCGGGGACGATCTGCATGACGTTAAACCAGAGTAAACCCATGACTAAAACCTTCTGGTGCCTACAATGTCTGCATAGCGAGAGGAAGGAAGCACGAAGTTATCGTAGGCTGGCTTGACATAGCGCAGGTACTGGGAAAGGATCCCGTCGACATCTCGCCCGCGTTCCTTCGTGTCGCGGTCAATACGCCTTGCAAGCATCAGATCTGAATCGGCTTGAACAAATATCTGTGGCGCGAGATCAGCATATCACCGTAAGAAGCACACACTAGACTAGTACCTTTAGATCGTAAAGGTCGCGGAGAGCTGGATCAGTGAGGGCCATTATGCCTTCGGCTGTACGGCCGTTAGATGAAGATCCAGTGATATACTCGCATGTCCCTTACCAATGATAATGGTCGCGCCATAGAGGTATTTGGTCTCGTCCATCCGCTGATGGTGGTTGAATGAGTATATCGGGATGTTGGTCTGTTTGAGTTGCTTGAGATCCGACAAGCACTGCGCACAGCTACCGTCAGCTATGCGTAGTTCGTGCATTGAGGCGCAGAGCGTACCTCGGCGAATAGTCCCATGTCGAGCGAATCAGGGTGATCAAAGTCAAAGCGAGACTGAAACGCCAGGGCGACTTCCTCTGGCGTGTGCCTCTTGTAGAAGCTGTCCTGCGAGAATCCATCCGGTGAGATCATGTGGTTTCACAGGAAAGTTGAATACAGTCCGTACCTGGGACATGATGACAACTGTGGGGATAGAGCCCATCGCGCGTACAATCTCGCGAGCAACGAAAGTCTGCACTCTGAATCAACAACAACACATCAGTCCAACGGTGACGGCCTTACCTTGCCGCTGGATGAGCCACCTAATCTCCAAAGTTCTCATCAGTCCGGAGCTCCAATTCACCGCAAGATTCAGCGCCCACCTGCAATGCCGACAACGAATGCGTTAGATATTGGCAGACCGTCCTCCCCATACCTGAGGACCAGTACGCCAGGGTTCAAAACAGCTCAAAGCGTTTGATGCACGAGGCGAACTGACCAAGGCGGCCGTCCATGGCTCTTTAGCAGCGTGTTTTTCATCGCCTTCACTCCCAGAAACGGATCCGGGCGAGGACTAGGTGTTGGAGAGGGTTCAGGCGTCACCAGCATTCCCGGAGGAACGCGCAAGCCTGCTTGTCCAGGAGCGAAGATGGACATGGTGGTGGTTAAGGAAAAGGTGCTCTCCTGGGCTGCTTAATCGGTAAGTTCTGGGAACGTGGACGATTCACGTTCGTCCAGTACCGGTCGGTGATCCACCGGTGCTCGAGATGATCCCTTGTATATTACTGCCAAGAGAGTATGGACGTTATCCAACTCGAGCCCGCAGCTCTATCTTCGGGAACGTAGCTGTGGCGCTGGACAGTGAAAGAGGCAGCACACGACCTAAATCTGAGATCGATGAAAGAGGCAAAAGCTAAGGTCAAAATGCCATCAATTGATCGAACCGCACGTGTCTCTCACGCGTTCGGCTAGGCGCGTCGAGGCCTCCATCTCTCTTCTTGCAGTCGCCGCCGGCTGTGCGCGGAGCATGGTACCGAGCCCGAAGACAGATTTTGACTCTCCTGAGAAACGTATTCCAGACGACAGGATGCCGCCGGTAGAGATGTCGGGTGCCTTGGCGATAAACTGATCGTTGGACGTCGCAACGTCATGGCGCAGGCCTTTTCCGGGCAGGAGTCGCTCTAACGCGTTACAGGCTAGCACTTGGCGTACACCTCCGGTCGCTTCGCCACACGCGCCAGACGGCAGGTTCATATTCGGATTTGTGCTCAAGTCTCTGGGTCGAGCATTGTCCGAGTGCTTTCCTGGCTTTTCCTTCTGGAAGAGCCGTTTTGGTTGCCTACCGCCCGTACCTGCTGCGTACCTTGGCTCGACTCCGAGCCTGCTGGCGTCCGGGACGGATGCTGTTCTCCACAAATGCAGCCCCGCGTATATATACGCAAGTCAACAGGTCAACGTTTCGCTTCGAGCGCAATCACGAAATGGTCGCCGGGTCCGTTGCTCCATATCTGTCCTCGGACAAGCACAGCATGGTCGCTGCGGGGTCGGTCGCTTCGTTTCTCTCCGCTGATCCCTCGTGGCCGAACATATATGCTGGTGTGCCACCCTGGGCGTTACACACTCATCATATAAAACGGGGGCTAGCCTGGAGCACGAACGACAATTCCTTGCCCTCTCGCTCCGTTCCGGCCCCGGCCCCGCGCCCTGCTGTCCCTCGCGTTGCCCGTATGTCTGCGGAAGAAATCATGCAGAATGCGTTGGGCGAGCTCGTAGAGTTGTGCCGCGGACCTCGACCCACAGACGTCTACCAGGCACAGTACTGGGGTATGGCTGGCGCGCATGCACTCCTCTTGAACGGTTTGCTTCACCTGTACAAGGTATTTAACCTGTCGCACTTGATGCCCCTCGCTCGAGATATTGAGACATACTCTAGATCGCGCCCACCATCCCCAAGGAGAAGAGCGTAGAGTTTGCAGGCTATGCTTTACAATGGGTAGCTGCCATCAACCACCATCATGCGTACGCCGCTAGCACTGCTGCTATCTCCGCATACTGACAGTCATTGCAGATGGGAAGAGAACCTTTACTATCCCCTCTTCGGCTTCGAGCTTGACTCGGCGTCTATCGTTTGCGAACATGCGACGTTTACCGACGGCGTCGAGCGCATGGAGCACTATTTCACCGACTGTCTGCCGGACGGCACCAAGTATGGCTATGGCAAAGTAGTCAAGCCGCATGTTCGCAAAAACTTCGACGGCCATCATGTACAAGATCTCATTGACACGTTTGTCAAACCTCTCACCGCCCACGTACGTCGGACTCTTGCTCAGTGTCCATAGCACTGCTTACACATGCGTCTAGTTCCTGCACGAGCTTGAGTATCTCGAGCCGGTGAAGCTGATGAAAACGGGCCTCACGGAGGAAGCCATGAAGAGGATCGACAAATCGTCATTGCAACATATGCGCACTATGGTACGGCGATCCATCCAGCTTTTCATCCATCTCTGCGGGTGCTGATTGCTCTTCTAGCCCAACTCCACCTTTCTTGTCTACAACTTACGACATGCGCCGAAGGGGTCAGAGTACCCGCCTACGGCACCGTTCGTGAAGCGCTTCTTAGCGCCCTATATCTATTCACTACCATACAAAAAGGTCAGTAATCTGCACTTGCAACGCAACGTCCTTGACAATTAGCTGACGTTGGTGCTTTGGTACACAGTACTGGCAATTCGCTCCGGCAGCCATCGAGTATTGAATGCTGAGTCCGGACACTCCCACTTCAGCCGCGCTGAACCCACCGCTCCTTTTTATTCGCGCTCGCTCCATCTTGTCCTCTTGCATCTGTAGCAATACCGCATACATCCACATCGATCGCTCATCCTACATCTGTCGTATATCCACCTGCACGCACATCATACGGACCTCCGTAGTACACTAAATCATAGGGATAGATAATACACGTCCGCCAAAGTTGTACGCCTCTGTGCTTGCCGTATACGCTGTCTTTATAGTAGTCCTACACCGCTCATTATAACTACTACGTCCGCCCTTATAATCACACACTCTTTCGTTGAACGTGCCTTGCCTGCAAGTCGATGATGCAAGTGTACTCATGGATCAACAACTGATCCAAACCGCGGGCGCGTGCATCAGCGCAACCGCGCTCGCCGACGCTTAGCACCGCCCACCATGTCGCTGCTAGCACCCATTATTTGCGACAATGGTACAGGATACTCCAAAGTTGGGTACGCAACGTACCTCTCCCCGCGTGATCCAACTATACTGACCAATATATAGCTTTGCCGGAAACTCAGATCCATCATTGTCAGTGACAGCTTCCCAGAGCATGCGCGGCCGATCCTGACCTCACATATTTCGATGTCTCTAGCGTATTCCCCACTGCGATAGCAACACGTGGCTCTGCCGCTGCCCCGTCTCGAGGTGGCCCTGGTGTACCCGCCAAGCCAGGACATCTCGCATCGAAGCGCGGCGTTGAGGACCTCGACTTCTTCATCGGGGACGAGGCTCTAGCCAACGCGAAGACGCCCGGGTATGGTGTACACTACCCGATTCGTCACGGCCAGATCGATAACTGGGACTACATGGAGCGCTACTGGGAACAGACGATCTTCAAGTACCTCCGCGCTGAACCCGAAGACCACTACTTCCTGCTCACTGAGCCGCCGTTGAACCCGCCCGAGAACCGCGAGCAGACGGCCGAGATCTTCTTCGAGTCGTTCAACATTCAGGGTCTATACATTGCTGTTCAGGCCGTACTCGCACTCGCCGCATCCTGGTCGTCCAACAAAGTCACCGACCGTACTCTTACGGGTACCGTTATCGACTCGGGAGACGGTGTCACACACGTTATTCCCTGCGCCGATGGCTACGTTATCGGTTCGGCCATCAAGCACATCCCCATCGCCGGACGCGACATCTCTCAGTTCGTCCTCAACCTCTTGCGCGAGCGTGGTGAACTCGCGACCGTGCCGCCCGAGGATCACCTGAAGGTCGCGGGCAAGATCAAGGAGAATTACTCCTACGTGTGCCAGGATATCGTCAAGGAGTTCCGCAAGTACGACGCCGAGCCGTACAAGTACTTTGAGCGCTACGAGGGGGAGCACACGGTCACTGGCAGGGTGAGTACACATGTCATTTGATCTCGTAGACGCGCGCCAATGACACGTTGTAGAAATACGGCCTTGACGTTGGTTACGAGCGTTTCCTCGCGCCAGAGATCTTCTTCAACCCGGAGATCTACTCGTCGGACTTCCTCACTCCCCTCCCCGAGATTGTCGACAACGTTGTCCAGGCATCACCGATCGATGTTCGTCGTGGTCTGTACAAGGTATGTGTTGCCCTGATAGATTGTGCTCATTGACGCTGATACTTAATGTGCATAGAACATCGTGCTCTCTGGTGGATCGACGATGTTCCAACACTTCGGCCAGCGCCTCAAGCGCGACCTCAAGCAGCTCGTCGATCGTCGTCTCGAGAATAGCGCGATCCAGAGCGGCTCGCGCGTCCAGTCGTCCGGAGTCGAAGTCGACGTCATCTCGCACAAGCGCCAGCGCTACGCCGTTTGGTTCGGCGGTTCGCTTCTCGCATCCCTGGTACGCTCATGCTTTCTATGTGTCCGGGGCAGCATGCTCATATCTTTATGCAGCCCGAGTTCTACCAGTCATGCCACACGAAGGCGCAGTACGACGAGATCGGCCCGTCGATCTGCAGGCGTTACCAGATCTTCGGTAGTGCGAACTAGATGGAATGATGCGTGGGAAGAGGCCAAATGCTGCTGGACGGACGTTGTGTATGCTAGTGGACTGGAAAATATACTAAACTGCATTGGATCTCTCCGACCGTACATATCTCATATGAGCGCATCGCTGTCCAAGGACAACTTCAAGTCGAGAGGTCTAGTAAGTGAATATGATAGGCTGAGCATTACCAGGCTGGTAGTGTGTATGGTACATGTGAAACAACGCGACAACAGTTCCTCGTTCCTCCGTCTCCATTCTCATCAACCCCTCTTAGAGCGCGAGCGTGATCCCCATGAGCGCTGGCCACAAGATGAACACCAGCCTAAACTTGATCGCCTCCATATCGAGCTCGCCCGCGAACTTCAACAAGCCGCTCGCAGCGTTTGCAACTCCTAAGCCCGCAGTACCCATAGTGGCGTGCGGGACGACAGTCGCACTGGTGAGCGTGCCGGCGGCAGGCGCAGGGGCCGCGGGCGCCGTCGTGGGTGCCATGGCGATGTTCTGCGGCGGCGCGACCGCAGATGAGTTGGGTGGCACAGGCCCGCCGGCGGGCATGACGGGTGAGATCATTGCATTTGACCCTGCGGCGGAAGCGTTGCTCGTGGCGTTGAATGCCGCAGCGTTGTTGTAGGGAGGTCCACCGGGCTGGCTCTGAGCTGCGGCGCCGGTTGTGATCGTGAAGCGTGCGGTGTAGATGTCGACAGGTGGCTTTGGTGCATGGAAGCGAAGGTAGCTATAGGGCCGCCAGTGAGCCAGGCGAACGTGTGAAGGGGGGACGGACGTACTATCCCGAACTGCTCTGGCCGTTGCCGAGGAACTCGCGCGAAAGCATGACACCGCACCGCTTGCTGGTGGGGTCCAGCTCCTTCTCCAAGGTATGCAGCATTTTCTGAATGATAATCAGTCAACAGTACCGAGCTTGTGTGGGCTGAAGCCATACGTCGTCGGGCCCGTAAAGGTCAAGCTGCAGCTTGGGCATCTCGTTCAGGTGCGGCCTCGAGCCGTCGTCAATCCAGGTAATGGTCGCCTCCTCGCCCGCTTGGTAGACAGTATTGGCGACCGGGCGGTTTGGGTAAAGAGTGGCGTGGACCGATGCGGCGAGAGAGGCGACGACAGCGACGTAGGCGAAGAAACCAGGCATGATAGTAAGACGGAGTGGGTATGAGATTATAGACAAGGGTATGGTACAAGAGCCGGAGAACAGGATACGAGCCAGCCGTACGAGGGTCCTGGTAGTGGGCGGGAGAAGAGCGGTGTATGGGGTACGGGCTTCGTAGACGTATGCAAGCGAACTTCACGTGTACGCGTTGAATGCATTACAAGCTCTCGGCACCGGGTGGCATGCGACCATCCTCGAAGCCCGTCGCATCCTTTGCCTGCGAACATCATGAGTATCGGCTTGAACGTGGGATACAGCTCGGACGTACCGCGGACAGAAGATCAGCTGGTATGTCAGGCAGGTTCTCCAGTTCGGTATCCAAAGCTCGCACTTCCCAGCGTGTAGGCATCCTCTCAATGAAGACACATATGTCAGACGGGAGATGTTGCCCGTGCTCTGCGTTGAAGTCCTCTCGAACTTGACGTTCCTCTGACATCGCGCGTGAGCTTCGACTACTGCAGATGATGTTGTGAAATCACATACCCTCGGTCATGGCCTGAAGCTGGGACATCATGCCGCGCACTATCTGGTCGGCGGCATCCTTGTAGTGTCGCCTACGCGCCACCTCGACTAGTAGCTTCCTGTACGAGTCTTGGTACGAGTGATATCGATGCGTCAGCTCATCTATATCCAGCAGTTGATGGTGCAGTTCCTGTAGTCGTTCGGCGAATTCTATCTGGTGGACAGTTAACATCGTGAAATAAGGCGTGGTGGCGAGATGAAGGCGAACCTCTATCTCGGTCTGTCTCTGAAGCATGTCACCCATGATGCTCCCCAGCTCGTCTAAATCATCCAATGTCTCTCGTTGTCGCTGTAAGTATTCGTGGGACACCCGCCGAGCGGACTGAAGTTCTTCGCTGTACCATAGGTTGATAAGCGCATGCTTGTGGATCAGTAAGTTAAACACTTACAAACTGGAGTCTATAGCGTTGAAGTCGTCGCCAAGTTCTCCAAGGATAACGGGAAGCTCCTCCGTATCTCTGTTCATTTCCTGTAAATCCTCCTCATGGAAAGCCTCCCCTGCCTCGCTCTCCCCTTGTGCGCGCTCCATCTGTTCGTAATGCACGGCAAGGCCCTCCAGCTGTTCGGCCATATGAATGCCTACGCTCTCCTGCAGGTCGAGAATCTTCGCGATGTCAACTGGAGGTTCGCGCGGGGCAAGCCCCCCTTCGATTTTCTCTAGAGTATCTTGTAGCGTGTGCGGATATGCAGCGGTGACAGTGAGAGTGTTCTGGGATACGTTGAGCCACTTCGCGGGAGAGAAATATCCGTACAATGATCGACATACATCGAGTTCGTTGCGCTCGTTCTCTATATTCTCCAAAGCACCCTCAATAGCACGTTCATCAACAAAGTCCCGCAAGGACTTCCACCGACTCCGATCCCTCTGACGAGCCTCAGCCTTCCTCTCTCGTTTCCACTGTCGTATCGAGCCGCCTCGTATAGTAAGCGTGGGACTATGGCCGGGAGTCCCATCCTGAAGCGGATCTTCCTCTTCCGAATCGGAATGTTGGCTGCCGAATAAGTCGAGGTCTGGCACGGGGTCCTGGAAGCTGGGCGGAACGAGTTGGCCACCCAGTGAGTCGAGTATCGCGTCGAGAGCGGTAGTCTGTTGAGAGCGCGCTCTGTCCCAAGACTGAAACGCGGATTAGATTCGAATACGCCGGACATTGAGTACGAACGAAGCACGCACCTGAGCCTGTTCCTCGAGCTTCGAACGGCGATTCTCCAAGTCCTTTACTACACAAGCTGCTAGCTAAGTTCATCAGACCCAGAGTAGCCCCAGAGTACAAAATTATTACCTTGAGCTGCTCCATCACCGCGTCAGAGATCCAGCGAATTTTCGTATTCAGGGCAAGGACATCGAAAGCGTCCTGGGCGGACGCGTTGGATAGTGTGTTCGCGCGCGAACATAGGGCCTCGCCTTCTTGTAGGGCATGCTTAGACTGGGAAACCAGAGCCGAGAGATGCGCCAGCTCATCTGTAACTACAGGAGAAGACGCCATTGCATAGGTCGTGGAGGCTGACAGAGTTGCGTGTGGCTCCGCGCACACGGACAAGTACGCCTCGGACCGGTCCTCCGATTACAGGTCTGCAACGCCTCGCGCCAGACGCGCGCTTCACCCGAACCATCATCACTACATACTCCGGACAAGGATGGATGCAACAAATCTCAAGTTTGCCCCTTATCCATTTGATGACGAACAAGCCGACCTCATCCTACGCACATCGGATGGCGTTCACTTCCGCATCCATAAAATCATACTCTCGCTCACCTCACGCGTCTTCAAGGACATGCTCTCTCTCCCGCCCGCGGATGCCTCGACCGACGGATCTGCGGACGAGATGTTCAACGGACTGCACATCGTACCAGTTGCAGAAAACGCAAGCGCACTTGATCTTGCTCTACGGTTCCTATACCCCCTACCATCCCCCGCAGTCACACTCGCAAATATGGCGACTCTCCTTGAATTCTCGAACAAATATGAAGTGCAATTCCACGATTTCCAGTTTGCGCAATGTCTTCGCGAGGAGATTCCCAATGACGCCGTGGGGGTCTACATTCTCGCTCACTCGTACAATATCGTCGACGTCGCGAGGCAAGCGGCTGCGGCGACTTGTCGGCTTCACCTGCGCTCCATTGACTCGCCCCTCCTCTGCCACATCACAGCGTCTCAGTACCGCAAACTCTTTCTATGGCGCTATGATGCTGGCTTGGCACTCGAGAAGATTACCGCCTCAAATTCTTGGTACATCAAAACACCGGGGTGTGTTTTCGCCTCCAAGTCCCCTTGTCAAACCTGCTATACGTCGGTGAGCCTTGGGTGGTACATGCACAAAAGCTTCTCGGAGTACTTGGTTCATATCCGCGAGGCATTCGCGCAGGGAGCTGGGTCTGCCTGCATACTGAACGATGTGAACTCGTATGCCAGGGCGAGCCAATACTGTGGCACCACAGCTGCCCGATGCAGCGCTGGAGCTTTACCTTCAACGGCATTGCGACCGCTTGCGGAAGCTTTAGCCACTGCTGCCGCCCGGTTCTGCTCCGAGGTCAGTACACCATCACCCGATCTACTGTCAGCTTGTCATCGGCTAATTCTCCGCTTATTCGCCGTAGATGAGCTCGCCACTCTGAGCTGAAGAGTCGATATGTGTGGCAATATTATACCCCATGCAATGATCAACGTGAACGCATACAAACTGCTGTCTTTACGTTGGCAAACTATTTGATCATAGACTTACGCTGAGTCCCGTTTCCCCGGCTGCTCTAACTCAGGTGCACCAATCGTTCGGCCGTCAATGAGCGTGTATAGATCTGCATACATGACAGGGACATGAACTATACTATCATCATGAGACTATCACCGACATCTATCCCCCTCTCAGACATTGACAGCGTCAAGTCTGCGTTCAGAACTCCGGCTTTGACGTATTTCTTAAGCTCGGCACGCCTCCTTTCCTTTTGTTCCCGCGCCCTTCGCACTTCAGGGTCCTCCGTGCTTTCGTCTGGCTCCGCAACGAAGCCTTCGACGAGGGTGTCGAATTCAGCCAAACCCTCCAAAAAGGCAACGCGCTCCGTGACCCACTGAGCAGCACAACCAAGCTCTTGGGATGCAAAGGACACTGTGTCAACACGCAGTCTCTCAAGATCTACACCCTGGCCATGACAGCCTCGTAACATCTCCTCGATGCGGGAAAGAGAGAAGTCATGCTTGACTGTGAGTTTGGCTAACTTGAGTCGCCTGAGTAGGGGCAAGGCTCCCGGTCTAGAGCAGATTGCGTCCGCGATGGCATTTTGATTGGCACTGGCAGGGTGCTGAAGGTACGGACATGCAGCGACGTCTACGATCAGAGTCTGGACGCGCTCCGAGAAAAATTCGAAGATGTGTCCCCATTGTTCGTGGGAAAGCTCGAGGCAGGTTATGATGTGAAGAGTGCGGGCGTAACTCGCCCCTACTCCGTACATGCATTCGTGTACTTGTTTCACGAATAACCCCACAGTATCGGGATCCAAACGATTAAATGACACAGTGAGCATTGGGGAATTATGCGACGTCGGGTCAAGAGGTTCAGTATTGCCCTTGGCGAGCGCGGGATCCGCGTAGAACTGGAAGACGATGCCATACGGTCGCATTTCGATTGAGACTTTCGTAAAGGTCTTCTCTATCTCGTCTGCGTATCCGAAGAAGCGCGTCGTGTCGGGTGTGGGGTTACCTCCGAAGACGAGGTCCCTCACTACGTTTGAGGGAGCGTGGACGACATTCAAAAAGACAAGAACTTGATCATATTCATCGGTGACGTGGAGTCTTCGTAAAGAGGATATGTCGATGTTTGCCCCTTCAAAGCGTGCGAATGAGACTGGTATCGCGTGCTTGAGGACGAGCTTTTCAAGCCGACCACAGCTTTGTAGAATATCGAAAAGACGGGCATCGAGCGTGGCGCGAATGTAGTCGGCTTCGTGTTCGCTTCCGTATGAAATTGAGATCGTGAGGGAGGTGAGTGTGTTCGGAGAAAACGGGATGATGCTGTTATCCAGACACAAGGATCGTAGTCTGGGGGCGATCATCGCCTCGGGAGTCAGGAATCGCCCGCCGGGCGTGACATTAGGATGGTAATGCGCTTGTGAGGCCTTCAGCCGGAAGGCCTCTAGCAGCGGGAAACTGCGCCCGGCAAGGTCAGAAGGTCTGTACGGCCAGAGCCCCATCTCCTCGATATCGTACGCGCGCGATTCTTCGATATCTATAGATCGGGCGGAGTCTATATGCTCTTTGAGAAGTCTCACAACACCAGTCGAAGGACGCTCTTCAGTTTGCCGTAGTGTTATAGAAAGAGGAACTTTCCCGGCGCGAGAGAGGATCTCCATGCATGCTTGTGAATAAGGCAGATAGAATACGGCCTTGGCCCAGAGCGTCTGAAGATGAAGCGCAATTAAACGTAGTGTCTGGCAGATGTGCGTCATGACAAGCCAGCCAATCTTATTCGATGAGGAAGGTCGCCATCCAGACTCAGAGACGGCTAGCAATATCTTCTCCAAGATCTCCTGGGGAAGCCTCAGAAGAGGCGCGCAGGCGTTACGACTGTGTCGCAATTGGAAGGCGACGTCTGACAGGTGTTCCATATCAGCGTCAAGCTGACGGAGATATCGCAAGTCCCCTCTCCCCGAGGAGATCGTGGTGTTTGCATCGCGCAGGAGCTGCGAGGTGAACTGCACGATTGAATCGCGTGGGCTGATTGGGCGATTGATCAGTTGACGTGAAGCAGGATACGGGGATTGAGCACAAACGTCAAGTTCACCATCTTTCCAGAAGGAGACTGTAGCTCATCGTGCATTTCCATACCACTCGAGGGCATTCAACAAAGAGGTTGGCTAAGGCTAATGGAGGTTCAGGACAAGGCGTGTTGTTCTAGAGGCGGTTGGCAGTCACCTGGGAAAGGGCCGGGCCGTCTTCGGCGCACGCGTCTCACGATCGTGTTTCCACGTAGGGAGTAAGTACCGAGGTCGTCGAGCATATCTAAGCTGTCTGTGCAACATCTATATAGTTCGGTCATACATTAGAATACCGCATCACCCTGACCGCCTTCATGGCCATGAAATTTGACATCGTAATCCTTAAGCCGCCTACTCCACTACTCTGAATCCTTCCACTCGTGCAACATACCGGCGCAGCGTGTCTAGAAGATGGTCGCGCTCCTGGGAGGGTAGCACGAGGCTGCCGTATGCCCGCGAGGCGAAGGATACCCGGTCGACGCTCAGCAGACCGAGTCCTCGTCGTTGACGAATGGCCGAGACAAGAGAGTCGGGGGTGAACTCCTCGTTGAAACAGAGGTTTCGAAGGCTGATCTCGCGTAACTCGGGGAGAGGCTGTACGGCTGATGACAGTTGATGCAGCAATGCGTCAATAAGCGCGTTATGATCGCGGGCGGTGTCTCGTGCACTGGCCAGTGGGACCATTTGCCGCCGGAGTATATCGGAGGTGACGTTGACGTGTAGATTGCGAGCTTCCCTGAAGGGCTCGAACATACGTGCCCACTGCCCAGGAATATGTTCGTAATCGGTCTTGATACGCAGATCGTGTACGGACTCCAGGCCTATCTCGAGCGCACATCGATATATGAGCTTGGTAAGGCGCACAGGCTCTGATCCTCCGGAGAGACTGAACATGGAGATCGCCAAGCGCAGTCTGTACTTCTCGGTGCCGCTTTGCCTCGCTCCATCGCCCCCTGTAGACCGCTCATAGAATTGGAAGTTAAGGTATGAAGAGCCGCTGTAGAACTCGGCTGCAGCAATTGAGGGACCCACGTCGCTGAAGCGAGTGAAGATGTGCACCGGATCGTCGGGAAGGCGACCGTTCAAGTCGATGTGGCGCACTAGACCTGGCGGCTGCTCGAGAATATCGAGAAGCAAAAACGTTCGCTGTGGTGTGTCACGTATGGTGAGGGTCTCGAGTGTAGGGATGGATATCTTCGGTGTCGTAGTACTCGAAAGATCGGGGACGACGTTCTCGAGCGTCAAGTCACGTAGGCAGTTGCTGTTTCTGAGCATGTCGAGGAAGTACTCAGGGGGCATGATCCAGACGTCGTCGGCACTTTCTCTCTGAGGGCGAGTGGTAGATGCCGTGAGGGAGAGAGACGTGAGGGTCTTGGGTGAGAAGGGGACGTATGCGCGATTGAGATGTAGCGACTTGAGGTTCGGCGTGATCATCGGCGCATATGTATACACAAGGGGTTCAATATGTTGGTGTACACGGGGTCTCCAAATGTGCACTGAGAGCGTTTCCATATGAGGAAAGGTGCGTGCGGCAAGATCGCTCGGCTTCAAGGGCCAGAGCCCATTCGAGTGGATGGGATAGGGCTGCTTCTCGCATATGTCGACGATTCGAGCAGACTCTAGCCTTTCGGCCATAAGGTCGAGAACAGCTGATGGGATGTGCAACCGCGAATCAGGGCCGACATCGGTGATGTTGATTGAGAGCGGCACATCCTGCGCTCGAGAGAGGACTTCGATGCAACCCGCTGGGCGCGGTACACAGAACGCGTGATCTGCCCAGAGCTTTGCGAAACCGAGGGTGATTGCCCGCAGTGAGTGGCAAATGTGCGATAAGAGTATCCATCCGAGCTTGTGCTTGTGGCGTGGACCGGCCCTTTCGCCGAAGGGCTGCCAGCCAGAGGCAACAATCTCCATGATGATGTCCTCAATGAGCTCCCGGGGAAGGCGAAGGAGAGGAGTGCAGGCGTTACGAGTGCGTCGCAACTGAAAGGCAACCTTTGCGAGGTGCTCCATATCGGCGTCTAGTTGTGCAAGGAGGTGCAGGCTGCCTCCGCCAGATGTCACGGTACTTTCGGCATCCTGTAGAAGTTGCTCGGTGAGCTCGATAACCAAAGGCCGTGGGCTTCGCCTGATAGTGCGTCGGCGGGTGATGACTTGGGAAGCAGACTCTGTGCTCACGGCAGCACTATCAAGGGCCCGTGCTCGTCCATAGCGCTCAACGAGACGAAAAATAAGGCTGGTGAACGTCTGGGACAAGAGTGATGTCGCGGTCGACAGAGTTCGGTCGATAATTCCGGGCCGGAATTTCCGCTTCACAGCATGTGCGCGCCGAACACCTCCTGCCTTCGCCCACCACCACCGTGCAATTCTCTGCCGCTTGTTGCTACGTCAAGACGATATGACTGTATCTGCGAGACCCTTTGGAACACCATTTGATCGCTCAGACGCCGATGTCATCCTACGATCCTCAGACAAGATAGACTTCAGGGCCCACAAACTCATTCTTTCCATCGCGTCGCCCTTCTTCGAGCAGATGTTCAGTCTTCCCGTCCCCTCTCAGAAACATGATTCCGACTTTATCAACGGAGTGCCTTGCATATCCATGTCAGAATCTGCTTCCGTCATTGAACTTGTCCTCCGCTTCATGTATCCGATCCCATCTCCCAAAGTCACGTTAAAAGATATCGGATCTCTGCTCGAGTTCTCTCGCAAATACGATGTACACATCTATGACTTTCAAGTTGACTGCGGTCTGAAGGAATCTATCGCATCGGACCCAGTCGGCGTCTACGCTCTAAGTGTCGCCTACGATATCCCCGAGATCAGAAATCTTGCAGCCGTCGCCGCTTGTCGCCTATCATCAGACATGCTCGATTCGCCCTTGCTTCATTACCTCTCGATCCAGCAGTACAGACAGCTTGTCTCGTATCGCATCAAAGCAGGCAACGCAATGTACGATCTCCTCCAAGGACAAAGCTTCTACGTTGAAACATCGGGATCGTTTCGGTCAGGGTACCATCAGTCCTGCGCAGAATGCTCGTGCTCGGACGGGGACTGGGTGCTACATACCATCTACTCTGGATACGTTAAGGCTGTGCGAGAGGACATCAGGAAAGGTGCTGGGACAGAAGTCATACTAGCACATGTGCATGTCTTTATGCCGCATGATTCAATGGGTTGTTTGCGAAAAAGTTACTCTTACCGGGGTCCTACCTGCTCCGGGATATCCAAAACCGCATTCCAGTACTTTGCCGATGCTCTACATAAAGCCGCAGAAGAAGTGTGTTCAAAGGTCAGGTGCCAGCACGGCTTTCGTCGCTCTTCTATTGGTACCCGGAGTTGACGCTGTGCCAACAGGTCGGCTTACCGGCGATTTGACGACCAGAGACTGGGTCGAGGCTGTGCACCCGCGGGGACGCTCGAGCTGTTGAAAGCCATTACTACTATAAGCACAATACGATTCTATTTATCTTTCGGGAGTACCAACGATCAAGGCAAAGCAGCAAGCTCCGCCTTCAACTTCTTCAACGTCTCAACCTCCTTCGCAACCTCCGCATCGTTCTCCGGGCTCTTAGGTTTCGCCTTCGCCGCGCGCACCACATTCCCCTGTTCAGCAACCTTCGCCTCCCACGCGAGCACCTCCGCGCTCTTGGGACCCGTGCGCTCAGCCTGCTTCGCGTCCTTCGCAGCTTTGCCCGCCTTACGCTTCGACATCCCCGGCGCGACATGCGTCGCATCAGCGCTCGGAGCAGGCTCCTCGCCCGCGGGCTTGTTACCCGCGAACTTATCCCTCCATACATCCGCCATCTTTTCATCGATCTTCTTGAACAAATGCTCGGGCGTGCCGAGTTTGTGTCCGGGGAGAAGATCAATGGAGAGCTCGAGCGGTACTGCGCGTGCCGGCGCGTTGAGCTGTTGGAGCATGGCGGTGGCAGTGGCGGGCATGAACGGCTCGGCAAGGGCGGAAAGAGCGTAGATCAGGTTGGCGGCGCGGACGAGGACTTGTGCGCAGCGCGAGGGGTCCGAGGCCATGAGCGCCTTGTTAAGACCGGAGGCTTGGAGGTACTCATTTCCGCGGGCGGAAAGGGCCATGACGAGCTGCTGGCCTGCACGGAGCTTTACGGCGTCCATGTTGTCAGCGTACTCGCGCAGGAGAGCGTTCACGTCGGTGATGAAGCCTGCGTCGACGGGGTCGTTTGGTGAGAGGGGGCCGGGAACATCGGGGGAATCGGGGAGGACGCCGTTGTATTGCGCAGTGATGAACTTGAGCGCGCGGTTAACGAAGTTGCCGAAGTTGTTCAGGAGGACGTTGTTGTTGGCAGCAACCTGTAATCCACATTCGTTGGTTAGGGAATGTAGATGGGAATCAATGTGGGACGTACGCATTCGGACCACGAGAACATCGAGTCGGCATTCTCCGGGCGCGCAGAGATGAGATAATACCTCCACACCGATGGCGGGATGCCCGTCTCCTTCGCCATAGGCCCGAAGACACCACGATTGTGGCTCTTTGAGAACTTGCCGCCCTCGTAGTTGAGGTACTCTGTCGTCGACAGGTGGTGTAGCTTCGTCCAGTTGCGACCGTCGCCGATCTGCACGGACGGGAAGTAGATGGTGTGGAAATACGTGTTGTCCTTGCCCATGAACTGGTACAGGTCGACGTTCTCGGGGTTGAACCACCATTGCTTCCAATCGTCGGTCAGGTCGGCGGTGATACTAGGATAGCCGATGCAGGCGTCGAACCAAACGTCTATACGAACATATGAGTGCTCAATGCCAGCGGCTGAATGAGACAGTACGTACAGAGTACCTTGCCCTTCATGTCCTGGTCAGGGTCGTCCTCCGGTACTGGTACAGGGATACCCCACTTCAGATCACGCGTCACCGGGCTAGGCCTCATGCCCGCCTTCAACCTGGCATCGACAATCTCGCCACTAGACGAGATAACAGCGTTCTGCGACCACTTGCCCTTGGCGTAGCTCTCCTTGATCCATGCCTCCGTCTTGGGCTGGAGTAGGTCGAGACGGACATACATGTGCGCCGAGGAGCGTGTGACGATTTTGTGCGTCTTGTTGATGAGGCAACGCGGGTTGATGAGTTCGACCGCATCGAGCGTGCGCGCGCATTTGTCGCACTGGTCGCCTCGGGCGTCTTCGTAGCTACAGTGTGGGCAGGTCCCCTCGACGAAGCGGTCGGCCAAGAACCTAGCACAGTCAGTCTAAATGGCCCTGCAAGAGTGCATGTTCCGACGTACTTGTCACAACCCTCGCAGAACGTCTGCTCGTTCTCCTGCTTGATGAGGTAGCCATTCTTCTTGAGGTTGAGGTAGATCTCCTGGCTGATCCTGCAGTTGGGCGTAAGCCTACAATTCAGGCAGGTACCTCGCATGGACACGTACTCTGTATGTTTGGGCGCAGACGTACGACCGAAATGGTCGAAGCTGAGTGATGCAATCAGCGTCGGTGACAGCCAGCGAACTTGGGTAGAACGCACGCCAGGTCAAACCACTTGTACGTCTCGACGTGTAGCGCGTTGTACTTGTCGCATAGAGCCTTGGGCGTCAAGTTCTCCTTGAGCGCTTGTGTCTCAGTGGCCGTTCCGTATTCATCCGTGCCGCAGATGAAGAGCGTTCTCCGGTTCCGAGTACCTGCACGCTGTCAAGCTACGCGGGTATATCGTCGACAGCAGACGTACGGGAGTATCTAGAGGCTTATAAGCGTGATGCGTACAGAGTCAAGATGCATGCGCACCGGCTGTAGACGTCTGCACTCAGAAGACTTCCGATAATGTTGCCTGTAAATCGAACAGCTCAGTGCATGACGCGATCGAAGAATAATTGTGGCGCACCAAGATGAGGGACGTTGTTACAATATGGCAGCGCAGAAGTGATCAAGACGTTCTTCTCTCCCTCAACGGGTAACCTATCCATCATACTATCAGCTCGATCTCAGTATATAGCCAAGTAAAGACGCACGCGACCTGCCCAGGATCGGGCACGACTTTGAGCACCCCATCCGCCTGGCGAATCTTCCTGTCGGCCATGGTAGAATAGAGTCGTAACTTGGTAATATTTCTATGGTACAAAGGACGGAGATGGCGGAAGGAAAGCAGCTTGGGCTAAACGGATCGATCGCGCCTTGACTCGAGCGCGCCCGTATCACACACAAAAAGTCGCAAGTCACGATGTTCGGAGCTGATGGCAAGTCGCGCCGCTCGGGAACACGGACGCGCGCTTCGAATCCACACCCCGCGCCGTGTCTCCGACCACCACATACAGGCCAACGCGCCTGGCTGAATATTCGCTCACAATGCTGCGAAGTATACCATGGTCACGGTCAGATACCACTTACCACTGGAGAACTTCCAGTGTTATTGACCATAGATGCAGATTAGGATTCGCTAAGCCCTTGTCTGTGGCCAGCCCGGAGCTCACGGTGCGCGGCGTTCAGCGCTCAATGCCTATGGGCGACTGACCTCGGACTTGTGATAGCTTCGCGCAATCATTACCGGTCTACTCATTGGATGCTTGCTATGCTTCACGAACCTATACTTCGGACTCCAGACTGGCTGGATCAGCATGTGCGCATCCTGGTATACTGCTGTCGCGCGCCTAAGCTAAGCGCCCGCAGGATGTCCCTTCAGTCGGCGCTGATCGGCTTTCTGGTCTCTCGAATGTTCAAAACGCCTCTATCACCACAAGAGAATGTGCTCATCCAGGCGACCGCCGCCGCTACAGGCACAGTGCGTACAGAGTCTTATCTATGTCCGTCCGAAGGGAGTCATCCAGGGTTCTCATTGCGCAATGTTAGATGCCGCTCACGGCCGGGTTCGTCGGGATCATCCCGGCGCTAGGACTACTGGATGAAGAGAGAGATGGGTCGCCGCCGTTGCGCTTATCGTGGTTGGCTGCTGTAGCATGGTCGTTCGCGGTCGCGTATTTCGGGTGAGTAAGTCCGGCTATTCATCTTTACCCCGCTTGTTATCGGCCATTCGTTTCTAGATGGCCTGACTAACATATCTGTACTTCGTAGGGTGTTCATGTCACCACCAGTCCGTAAACAAGTCGTACGTCGCGTGCATTCAATGCCATTACATCATCGTCGCTTTAGCTGTGGCGCAGATCATCGAAGAGCAACTCACGTTCCCTTCCGGAACGGCAACGGCTCAACTCATCTCGGTGTTGCACAAGATGCCCCCGCCCGATACGTTGCATAAACGTAAGGGGTACACGGCTTTGGATAGTGAAGATGCCGCGGACTCGGAGTTGGCACAAGAGCCACGCGAAAGTGCCGCAGTCGAGGCCGAAGAAGAGGATGAAGAGGTGAAGGAGATTGTCAGCAACGAAGGCTGGTCCGCATTAGGTTGGAGCTTCCTTGCATCTGCCGCGCTTACCGTATGTGACGATCATGTTCTACATTTGACATTCGCTAACGTGCCCATAGCTCTTCGCGTACTTCTTCCCGATCACATTCGCCATCCCAATCTTCGGCACCTACCTCGCAAAGAATTGGCTTTGGACATTCACACCCTCTCTGTCCTACGTCGGCCAAGGCATCATCATGGGTTTCCCAACAACTCTCAGTATGAACCTCGGCATGCTCGTAGGCTGGGGTGTACTCTCGCCCGTGTCAAAGGCATACGGTTGGGCCCCCGGTCCTGTAAGCGACATGTCCACCGGCGCGCGAGGGTGGATTCTTTGGACGGCGCTGGCCATCATGTGCTCTGACGCACTGATATCGCTTGTGCCGGTCATGATGGAGATCTTACGCAAGATGATCAATGGAAAGGGTGCAGACGAAGACAGCAACGAGAATGAGACGCCTGAGAGGCTGGTATCCACCAAGTGGGTATTGTGGGGGCTGGGTGTCAGCATCGTGGTTGGGACAATCATCGTCTGGCTCGTCTTCGGACACGAAGGGATCAAGCCGTGGGCTACGATCATTGGATTCATCATGGGCACGCTTCTCAGCATCCTTGGGTACGCGCATGGTTACGCGCTCAGGTTTTCATGTATGCTCACTCTATGCCAGTGTACGCGCTCTTGGAGAGACCGATCTCAACCCCGTCAGTGGCCTAGGCAAGATCAGCCAGCTCTTGTTCGCCGTGATCCAACCGGGCAATGTCGTGGCGAATATCATCGCAGGTGGCGTTGCAGAAGCCGGCGCGCAACAGTACGTTATCAGCCTTTGAACTCGCTTGACATGATGCTGACGTCCATGTAGAGCTGGTGACCTCATGCAGGACCTCAAGACTGGCCACCTGGTGCACGCGTCTCCGCGCGCACAGTTCTACGGTCAGCTAGTAGGCAGCACTCTATCGATCTTCGTCACGGTCACCGCATACACCCTCTACTCGCGCGCATACCCTATACCAGGTCCGACGTTCCCTGCGCCGACTGCATACGTATGGCTGAGTCTTGCACGACTACTCCGTACGTTCACCCTCCCCAAATATGCGCATACATTCTGCTGACGTAAAGTAGGCAACGGCGAGCTACCCGAGAAGAGCGGTCAATTCATGCTGGGCGCCGCCATCCTTTTCGGCCTCCTCTCAGCGCTCAAAACCCGCCTGACACGCTCCCAGTCGCGCTACGCATACCTCCTTCCCTCCGGCGTCGCATTCGCCATCGGCTTCCTCAACACTCCATCATTCTCTCTCGCACGTCTTATTGGCGGTATCGTCGAGCTCGTGTACCACCGACACTTTGCCAAGGGGAAGAAAGGGGAGGATATCAAGTTGATTGTCATTGCTAGCGGGTTCGTGTTGGGAGAGGGCGTTATGAGCGTGTTAAATCTTGTGTTGAGGACTGCTGGTGTGGGTGTGGGAAGTTGCTGGGGATGTGGACATGGGATGTGTGGCGGATGTTCTGCATAGCCCGTTGTCGACGCTTGAATATATGTATAGACTATTTTCTCATCTAGATTCTGGAACACCTGGCTAGCTTCACAAACAAATGCGATAGAGTACGTCGAATGATGCACTACGATTACAGCTGCTCGATCCAAGCTCCAATCTCCTTGAACGTCTTCGTCCTCTCCGGCTCCCAGTACGTGAACAAGAGGAAATCATGCACCGCGTCGGCCGCCTCAACATACGTGCACCCCTCCCCAATATCCTTCTTCATACGCTCGACGAGCAGGCGGATACTCGGCGCAAAGCTCTCGCCACCGCCGCCACTAACGAAAGTACGCGGGAAGCCTTCGAAAGATACGGCCTCCGCGCGGGGTTCGATGCTCGCGGGCGAAATGTAGCGGCTGAGCAAGATGTCGCGGCTTAAAGGGCCGAGGAAAGCTTCGATGGAGTACTCGCGCACTCTCGTACCGGGAAGGCTGAGGTAGTCCGACTTGAAGAGTCCGTCCGCGATAGATTGCTTATCAAGGCTTCCCGACATATCGACCCACGGCGACTCGAGCACAAGCCCACCCGGGGGAGCAGGCAGAGCTTCGAGCCCGGTATTCTCCACGAGGTACCGCGAGAGCGCGAGTGCGAGATTCCCGCCGGCGCTATCGCCGCTGAGAATGATGTCTTCCGGCGCAAAACCGACTTCGTTGACGAGGTAGACATAGCCTGCAATTGCGTCCAGGAGCGCGGTGGGAAACGCATTGGCTGGTTGGTCGGGCGGCGCGCTGGCGAGGCGGTATTCAAGATTGAAGGCGCGAGTAACGCTGGAAGAGTGCTCCATAACGCCTCTCAGAAGGTCGGCGGCGAGGTCTTGAGGAGCCGCGGACATGCGTACATAGCCGCCGCCGTGTAGGTGGAAGAGAATGCGTTCGCCTTTGGTTGGCGGGGCACCGGCGAGTGTGGCATTGTTGGACGTGTTGTCGATCCAGTAGCCTGGTATACGAGCGGTCGAGGCCTTGGTGATGCGCATCCATTCCTGGAGTTCCGACGTGAAGAGGGTGTCTTGGGCCGGGTTGACCCAGGAAAGCTTGATGCCGGGGCCAGTCACCGGGTGCTCTGCGTCGGCGATGAAATGGAAGCCCTTGACACTGTACAGCAGGATGTGTCGTGAGTGCCAGTATAAAACATAGTCAGAGCATAGACGTACCGTGAAAGTCGGTCCTGGATGAAGTGGGTCATGTCCCTCAGGACAGCCTGCTTGAAAGTCCACGACGGGCGAGGACGAGTAGCCGGGAGAGCATTGCTCAGCATCGATATCGGTAAGCGTACGAAAGCAGTGACCAGACCCTGATAGAGGTAGAAAGCGCCCTTAGCAGGCTGAGAGCGGATATCGTTCACCATTGCGCCGGGAGCACTGAAAGCGCACGAAACTGAGTGAGCCTCTGCAGGTTGCTCCGCATTATATACTCGAGCCAGACGTAGCTACGAGAAGCAAAGACGCCATCATCCAGAGTGCGATATGTCCAAATATGGAGAGTAGTTCACGGTGGACGGCTGCGACAATCCTTAACACCAGCCCGCGGAAAACAAGCCGCAAGCCCACCAAACGCTCTCGCGGCAAGTGGCCGAGAAAACTGATCGGCGTTAGCGCACGCGATCAAGATCACTCGCTTCCCGGTACCGCCGGATTCTGCTTTTGACACTCATCTGCGCGCACATTTGAGAAAATCGGACACTCTCTATCGCTATGGCTGAATCGTGTGGAAACCCGGCCGCAGAGGCGGATGCGCTTATGCCTAGTGCGTACGCCCCGTCTTTCATGGCTAGCTGCCCCTAATACTAACGCAGAAAAGTCCAAGTTCGATCGTTCAGATAAATGTGTAAAGTGCAAGGAAGCACGGGGTAATCTCGTCGTGCGTCACGCTGTGTATTGCAAGTAAGACTTTTACTGTACGCGCATAAGATACCCGCTAACTATCGGTACAGGAACTGCTTCAGCGGTCAGCTTGAGGCGCGATTTCGCAAGGCCTTAGAGCCACAAATCAATCATATCTCGTCCGGCACTCGACGCGGGGCTTTAAAGCCAGCAGGAGACCTACTCATCGGATTCTCTGGGAGTGCAGGCTCGAGTGTTCTCCTCGATCTTGTGCACCGGACCTATATCGCGCCTAAAGCCGCTGTAGAGGAGGCTAAGGGTGGAAAGGAGCATCCGCGCAAGGAGCGGGTATGGCCTCACGTACGGGCAGCGTATATTGAAGTCGCAGACGCTTTCCCAGATGGCAAGGTCTGTTGACGGCATGCCTCGTACGAAGCAGTACTAAACCCTGCTGTCAGATGCGAGATAGAACTCAGGAGATACGCGAGGTCGTCGCGGCGTATGATGGCATTGAGTTCGTGCCGCTACGTATACAGGATGCTTTTGATTCCGAATGGTGGGCTCGAGTAACAGACAAACAAGCCGAGAACATGTTCGTGGACTTGAGCGATGAAGGTAAGTCTTGGTCAGGCTATTCCATCTCTCAATGCGCTGACATCCCATCAGAGATTCCAGTCTCACCACCTTCCGACTCGGTTGGCACACCACTGGAGACTCTACGTGCATACCTGTCACATCTACCAACCCCAACAGCCGTTCAAAGCGCCATTTCTACCCTTGTCCGCGTCCTACTGCTGCATACGGCATACACAACCTCGTCGTCACATCTTGTGCTTGGAACATCTCTTACTTCCCTGTCGATCTCCCTCATTTCGACAATATCACAAGGTGGTGGTTTCGCCGTACCACAGTCCGCTCAGGAGGAATGGTCTCCCAACTTCTGTCGCAATCCTGCTGAGGAGACTGGGATACCAAATGGACAAACGAAGAAGCAACCATGGCGAGGAGAAGTTCGCGTACTGAGGCCATTGCGCGAAGTCGGAATGAAGGAATGCTCAGCATGGGCTCGATGGCACGACGTTCATGTAGTCGGAAAAGCGCCTTTGCCTATATCTAATGCACATACCCAGACGATTGAAGGTCTCACGAAAGACTTCATCGTCGGTTTGGAGAAGGATTTCCCGAGTACCGTGTCAACAATTGCGAAGACGACGGCGAAGCTCGCGCCCAAGGGGACAAGTACTACGCGCTGTGCTTTGTGCGAACTGTGCGTCAGTTTCTGCGAGTGATTGTGGCTGCCGCTGACATCACGTACGTAGACCCATGCAACCGGGTGTGCAGGAGTGGAAGGCGCGCATATCAATACGCTCGCGATCGAACGGTGATACAACTACAACGGGTACCCCTGCGACACAGTCTCTTGCACCGCTGCTGTGCTACGCATGCCATACTACTCTCACGAGTCGTAGCAGTCGCAGTGCAGCGCCGGGCAAAGCGAGTGCCGGATCAACCGCGCCGATCGTCAAGCTACCGATCTGGGCGGCTTCCTGTGCGCACTCCGGGACTGGTACGGCTGTCGAACTGGCAGATGCATCTACGCACAGTACGCGATCTGACGAAATATGGGAGACGAAGCCATTGGACCGGCGGGAGATGCGCGCGGCTGTGGGAGAGTTCTTGCTTGACTCATAGTACGATGCCATTGCGATGTCTGTGTACCTTGTATTTTTCAGTACCATACGATCGGACGCCCCATCAAGGGAGCTCACACGCTGATTCTCGCTTGGAAGCTTACTGAGGGTATTGGTAGACAGAGGATTCAAGCATACGGGCTTCTCGGTTATATCGGCCGGTAACACCGACACAAGCCGCGATTTTGCCGCGAGGAAGTTGGACCGCAACCACCACAACTCCTTCTTACGGTCCAAAACTCGCAAGAGCATATCCCTCAGACGACTTTCGTTTTTGCTTATCGTCTGATCAATTCCGCTCTCAGCATTCATGAGTTCTATGGAGCCTGATGAATTGTCATTCAAGATGCAAACTTCGGATCTGGACGCGCTTATCCAGGCGGACCATATGAGCGAGGCCGCCCTCTCTGCCGTTGACAGCCCCGAGAGGTGGAAAGAGGCCGTTGCGCTACTTCGAACATCTAAAACTCGGCTCGAGGATATCTCTCGGGTATTCAGTCATCGCGAGGCCCACTTGGTCGCTAAGCTCAACGAGCGGGCGAATCGGACGTTACCTATCTTCCGCCTGGACTACGACGTCCTTCACCTCATCTTCACCCTAGTCGCCGCCGTTGACCGTCAGTCGAAACGGAGCGAACGGGGGAAGTGGCTTCAACTGGGCCATGTTTGCAAACATTGGTGGGCTGTGCTGCACGATATGGCGTCCCTCTGGGCCCACGATGTCTTCGCTGTCTTCAACGGAAGACGCGGGTTCAAGGACGTCTTCACTCTCGCCCGCGATAGCCCGCTTGATCTTGTACCTCCGGCGCGGATCAATCGTTTCGCCTCAACCATTCCGTCTGTGTTCAGACCTACTCGTCTGCTAGAACACTTCCTCCCTCTTCTTGGGCGTGCGCGATTGTTCGATAGCATGATAGACTATCTGGATGACTGGGTTTCCATGTCCAAAGTTCTATCTTCCTCTCCTCTTCCCCACCTCGAAGAGCTTGTCCTTCAATGGCAATCTCATCTGCGGGCGCCAATATCTGAGATACGCGTTCAACTAGGGGATCACCCTAAGCTTCGCTTCCTGAAGACCTACGGGTACATCGCCAGACCACACCCCGGAAACAGCCTCACGTCATTGGACATGTCTCTGCTCGTTCACAGGGCAACAGGCATGCCCAGCCAGGCAGAGCTCTCCGACTTGCTCCTCTCTATGGGGAAGTTGAAACATTTGAAGTTGGGATATTGGTGTCCAACATTCCGCTACGACCCTGCATGCCTCATCAAGTTCCCCGAACTGCAGACTCTGGTTATAACCGATGAAAGCAGTGTCGAGAGCAGTGTTAATCTGCTACGATGTCTTCGTCTACCGGCCGTCGTCCAATGTTTCATTGACGTCACAGCTATGGGGAATCACGTTGACGAACAATATATCGCGGACAGTGCCACAGTGCAGTCCATGTTCGATTGCCTGGGAACCTCCCTCGCGGGCTCGCCGGCCATCTCGCACAGAAGCCACTTATATGTCCATCACTCGGAGACTCAGACCCTCCAATCTCTCGCGAAGCTCTCGATCAGATGGAGTGCGGTATACGTACCAAAGAACAACGTCTGGCGATGGCCGTTCGAGAAACCCGTTCCCGAGTTGTGCCTCAGCATTATGACTGCAAGGACGGATGCGGCCGATATACCGGGGATCGTCTCTCGTCACGTCAAATCTGCTGGCGCCATACATGATCTGGCCTTCATAGACTGGCAAGAGATGTTGACGTATCAGGTGCAGGAGAGCACCTATAGCTATCTGCGAACCGCGTTGGCTCCCTTCAAGCACGCTCAGTCTCTTCAAGTTTGCGATGCGCAAGTGGGCTCCATGACTCTACGCAGTGCACTTCATGCACTGGTACAGTCAGAGGCTGAGCAGTCATCGGAACCCCTGCTCGATTCAATACGCCGCGTACGCTTGTCGGCGACGAAGGACTGGAACTCCTTGCATAAGTTGCTCTCGTTCAATCGCGTCGGTGACCGGCCAAGGCAAGGCCGGCTCCTGGCTGAGTTCATCCGGAAGCGTGCAGCACGGGGCAAGCCTATCGAGGCGCTTGAGCTGCGTCTGACGAACGCTCACAAGTCCCAGTATACGGAGGATGGGCATCGCGCAATGGAAGGAGAGTCTCTATTGGCGAGACACAAGGAAGCCATACTACACTTTGCGAAGGAAGTGGGAGCCCGGGCCGAGTTCGTTCGTGTGGAAGTTGAGGATACAGGAGAGGTGGATATTGACTATCCTATCTGGAAGACCCATCAGTATATCGATGTCCTACTCACGTACGATATCACGTCTGCTTAATAGTTGCAGGGCTTGCATATAATGTCGGGTATCCAAGATTGATAGGAGTTATTCATGATCATGTCTATTCTTGGGACACATGTACCTGCGGTCTTGCCGCTGTATCTTGATGCTCTCCGTGCGCCCAGGCGGAGAATGAACAATACACCCTGAGAAGGGTATCAGCGTTGACAGGAAACGCTGAGATCCTTCGGGACGACGTCACGATCGACCATGGCCGCGGCCGTGGACGGCAAACACCTGTGGCGCGTCCGCGGCATCACATCGAGCCCACCCGATCCCGCCATCCCGCATGGATCGCGTCGGGGCCTTCCTGATATGGCACAAGCTTGACAGGCGTCGAGATCGAAAAGGGCCTCGACCGGCGGCTGAGTATGCAGGCCTGGTGCGCGCGCGTCATCCGAGCTCAAGCCCACGCCTAGTGCGAAAGAAAATATCAGCGACAGTTGTCCTTTGCCGGCACTGGACGTACTTTGAAACGTATACAAGCGTGTCCAAGCAGATCGTCGTGCGCGAAAACGTACGGAGACAGCCTGGGCGACCGGCGGGTGACGCGTGTATCGTCCAGAGAACGAGGGAGAACAAAGACGGAAGGATATTCCATGCCGTGATCCCGAGGATGCGTGACTAGAATGAGGGCGGGAAGGACCTGTAAAGACGTACAATCAGAGGCGATCTTGTGTTTAGAACGCGCTGGGAGTTCTCCTCCAGGCGGTATTGTACGTAGTACAGGGCGACCCAGCCGCGTAAGGTCCGCGCGCGCCACAGCTGGCGCGAAGAAAGAAGCGCTCGGGCGCTCAGGAACGACGTTACCGGCGGCTGACACCTGTTTTTGGCCACGTCGGCGTCAATGGCCTCTGACGTAGCCGTATCTGAATGTGGGCGGATAGGTCGCAAGCATGTTGAGATATAATACAGAGTGAGATGAGCGAGGAGAGATGATAGTTATGTATTGAGAGAATAGTTTCTGGGTAATGGCTACAGAGCAATCCGGATGCGTGTATGTTGAGACTGTCTGGCAAACGTGGATGAGGATCAAAGAAGCTCGAAAATGACGTGGATGAGAGCGAGTATGGATCGAGATGCAGGAGGGAGCGCAGGTGGTGGAATAAATCACAGAGCATCGACAAAGCTGTAGACAAAAAGATGATGATGAAACCGAGGCGATCAAGACACAGCGCGATCGCAGTGGGAAATGAGAGACCAGAGAGAAGGCGAAACGAGATGCCCGAACGAAAGGAGAGGTGCGCAAGCCGCGTATGGTAACAAGCCGTTTGCTATCTGGTCCCCTCGGTGTTCGCCGCAGACGATCGTGCTTGAGCGCTTGCCCCAAGACGCTTCGCGAGAGATGGCGGCATGGGTGGAGGAGAAGGTTGCGTGAGCAAGGCGCGCTTCGAGGCCGAATGCGGACGAGCGGGTGCTGATGACGCTGGATGTGTGCGCAAGACAACATTTGTCCCAGTCGGGTATGCTCCAAAGGGCGACGTGAGGGCGGCGACAGCAGGTTGATAATCAGCACCCGGCTGCGCGTAGAATGGGAACGCGAGAGCCTGGGCGTGAGCGCCTGGTGGGGAGGGGAACGGGTACTCGAAGCGCGGTGATGGGTTGAACGGTGTCGCCATTGTTGCCCGTCCGGGAATGGGTATCGCGAGTGGCCTATTAATCGTAGGCTGCAGCAAGGGGTGCGTCTGGAAAGCGAGATTCACATCAGATATTAGCTCGACACTCGAGCACGTGAAGTGTACCTTCGACGACGCGTATCTCGGGGTGGGTTGCGCGGGTGGTGGCGACTGCATGTCAAGGGAACGACGAGCTTGCGCGAGAGCCGAGGATGAGGTGAAAAGAGCGATTGCTCCAGACTCACTCCTGCGTGATTATATGGCTCGGCGCCTATCACTGGCTGATTGGGTTGCAATGACGCGCACCCGACCCGAGCGTGCGCATGTCTCGTTTCGCCTCACTTTCGCCGCCGAACGCGATGGCGGACTCCATCGCCGTTGCATCTCACCATCTCAATCTTGCGTCGCAACGGTCTAGAACGACGATGACAATCCGTACACGTTCGTACAAATCGGCCAGATCCAGGCGCGCGAGTAAAAAACCTCGCAAACGGTGATAGGTTCATTGTCCACATGGCATCATGATAAATCAAACGAAATATCACGGCCCGTGCGCAGCCTTCAGCGCGTTCTCATTTCCGTCCTTCTCTGACCTACGTTGAACTCTCGATGCTGCCTTGCGCACTGCGTACGGCCAGCACGCCCTTCTGGCGCGGATCTTATCGATCCTGCCTACGCCCGCTTCTATGAAGCCTTCTCCGCGAACGAGGCGTATCGCCTACAGCTCTGGCGCTGCCAACCTGAAATGCCACGGCTCGGCCGTACGTGAACGACAACATGCTCGTCGCGCCGTTCAGCGCGATGATCGCTGTTAACCGAATGCTCCGGCCCTTGAGAATTCCTTGCTTTGTTCGGTACCTGAGCCCAGGCCGGGCGGTATATTCCCGACGCCTGTTCTCTTCGCGAGAGCTCACGGAAGGGCCCGTACTCCAAGACTCCCATTCATCCGATATCCTGATCCGCACTTTTGCGCCACCTGTCCGTGCATACTGTATCGTGTGACCAGCGTAGTCGTCTCAAAGGGTCGCGCATGCGGCGGGTTATTGGCGGCGGAAAGTCCTCGAACGCCGGGGAATTGCGTAGCGACGCAATCTTGCATACGCTTCGACGTTCTCGTCTTGACTGCGTCCAAGCGTGCTTGAAGCAGAGATGAGGATAGCCTGGACAGCCCCAGCGCTCTCGGGCGATCCGCTACCGTATGGACACATATCCAGTAGTTACCGGCGCTACCGGTAAGATCCTTGCGTGCGGTGCACGCTCTTCTCCAACTTCCCCTCGAGCTCGCCGCACGTTCTGGACGCTCCTCCCTTATACATTACCAGCAGACTCGTCAGAAGAAGCTTGTTTCGTGTCATGCAAAGGTACTTGATACCGAGCTTATCCACAATGACAGGCGCCTACAGGCTCACCTTCATCCCCGTCTTCTCTTCATCGTTATCTAACTCTTGTAACGGGGACGTCCCTCACTTCTTCAAGTTCTTACACACAACCCCTCGGCGGCGCATCCCTACTCGTGGCTCGTCACCCTCAAACTATACCAGAATACATGGACTGCGACTCTGCGATCTCGAACCCTCCACCAATGACGCGCGGGGACACCTCCACCTGGGCATATTGCGGTATCAGCGCCGAACAGGTTGAACTGCTCGCAGCTACTCGTTCGGAACGTGCGTACCGTATAGACGGCGGCGATAAGCCATTCGAGGCTTGATGACACTCACGAGCACAGTAGGCGCTACAGTATGGCAGTGAGCGCGTCATTGATTGGTACGCGATTGTATCGGGTCAGTTGGTTGGAGGCCGACATAGATCGTGACCTCTTGGCGCCTTCTAATCTTCAAGCTCAGTGGTCTCTCGATGGGTAGCTTCCTGGAGATCTAATCTCCAGTTCCTCTGGAGTCGATGTATGTAGTACGGTCTACATACACGGACCCATATCACAACACGAACCACATCGCCGATGCGGATCTCACTCGACAGCATCGTCATGCAGATCGCCGCGCGCGATTGAAGCGCCCGTCAAGCGCGATGCGATCGTATGCCCTGTTTGGCATACGGAATGCTTGTCGGCGCCCTGACTCGAACGTCGACATTTGACTGCCTATCTGGGTTTGGCCGCCATGCGAGGCAAGCTGCTTGCTTCCGAAGCCTTGCATGCAGACGCCAGACGTTCACGAAGAGTCCTCGGCGGCCGCTGGTCGTGGCCCCGGACGTCCTCGCGACGAGGTCACGGTGCTCTTATCGTGCGGCGCTGACGCCTTGAAATGTACCCTTGACGTATAATGCTCGATCTTTGTTCACGCGTTCACGAGTCACACACGATCGTAATTCGTCTTGGAGAGAAGTTCGAATGAAGCGCATATATTTCAGAGGAAAGCTGCGGAGACAGGAAGTGAAGGCGTCTACTGTAGATCGATTGAAGTATACAAATCACGTTCCGATACTTGACTGATTCACAGACAACGAGATGATCGCCCTCTAGCTCGACGTCTGCTCGGTCTCTACAAGCGCTGCAACGGCAGCAGTGCCATCGCTCCCGGTATCGGGGTAGATGAAGCGCACGTTCGTGCCACATTCCCCCCATTCTGACGTGTTGTCGTCCACAAGAGAAAATTCCAGCTCGACGCCCATGGTTGATTGAACACGCGTGAGCATTTTAAACATGTCATGCTGTCCCCCTGTAACAATATCCAGGCCCTCGACACCCAAAGTACTGATAGGTTTTCCGATCGCTCGACGGGATTGTAGAGGTCTGACGATACCGAGCTGATAGAGAGTCACATTTCCGAGTCTTTCATGAAGAAAGCGGTCATCGACGACGATGCGTCGAAGCGCAGGTAGTAGCATGCCACCTGATGGGAGTAAGAGCGAACGAGCTGACAGCGATTCAAGCGAGCAGTGTCCATCTGACCGTACGTATATCATCTCCACACCATCAAAGTGGGCGAATGCAGCCACCCAATAAGCGAAGTGGGTCATGACTTGTGTGTTCGCACTCCAGTCTAAACATTTGACACGTTGCGCCATTCCGTGTGTGTATAGCGTTCTCTCGAATGCAGAAACTGTGAGGGCCATGTCCTCGGGCTCATGAGATTCAGAAACTTGCAGGGAGACGCGCAAATGGCTTCCTTTCCCTGATTTCCGTCGCAGCTCAGCCAGTTCGAAGTCGAACGAGCTTTGGTTCCCATTGTGTAGGCCATGCGCGACAGTGAGTCGTGCGCAGTCCTTCAGGGAGGGTGCGCCGGCGCTCGTTGTCAGAATGGTGTTGACAGATGATACGAAGGCGGCGATCTCATCCGGCCATGCGAATTCAGCGATATCGGCATGGGTGAGGGCGGGCAACCGCAAAGAAGCGACAAAGCGTTGCAGGCCGCCTTGGGCAGACAAGCGGTTATTTTCCCGCGAGCCTAGGTGCAACTTCAGTTGAATCAACTGGGCCATGATGATTGGCTCGACTGATGTAGCCCCCGGGGCGTCATTCCGATCAATCCATCCCTGAAGGGCGAATGTCTGCATACGCGGGGACATAGATAGTATGCCAAGCAGGGTAGCAGACGACGGCATCATATCTAGATTATAGTCTTCCAATAGGATCTCAAGGGTGACAAGCGCACTGCAAGAACTCGGCGGCCGCAAGAATACGTTGGTCATCGACAGTCGGTGGAGGTGGGAATGGTCCGTCAATTGAGTGTGTGGTATGCTGAAGCTGGCGCTTCTACTCGAATCGACGATAATCTGTACTTCCTCTAGAGAGGGGATCGGGTGCGCGCATAACGACTCGGCAACAGAAAGGACGTCCGCCGGGGAAGTCGGATAGCAAGCCAATAGTCGAGCGCGATCAAGCAGCGGCAAACCGAGATCCAGCAACCTCCTCTCGGTACGCCATTTTCCAAATTCGTAGAGGTTGAGGTCCAGCGGCACACCGAGAGTGCGAGGCAATATATCCGAGAATCCCTGGGGAAAGGCGAACAGGTCGCGAGCCCAGAGATGAGCCGCACCGAGTAGAACTCCTCTCCACTGGCGGCATACATGGCCTAGCCTCACCCAAGTATTCTTCCTGGGATAGCGAGGCCTATTCTCTATGTCTGCCACGAAGGTGAACACGAGGCGTAGGACATCGGGGTTCAAGCGCGCCACAGCGGGAGCCGCGTTGACTCGCTCGTTGAGCAGAGCGTTAATGCGCAAAGTGCGCTCCTGGAGGTTTGACACAGCGTCCTCGAGCCAAACTCCGGTGGATTGAAGAAGGTCTAGCACCTCGGAAGGATCTGTAGTCGCACTGAACGACTCGATGACCGATCGCGACATGCGCTCTGCAGCAAGGAGAGCGTTGATATCCGAGTCGCGGATGTTGAAGGAGAGGATGGAGATATCCGACATTACGTGTGATGAGTGAAGATACGTGTGCAAGTACGCCTTGGGCTTCCCTTCGGGTAGTCAGCTCGAGGATGGTCGTTCGCGTGAACCGTCGAGACGCGCCCTGGTCCTCGAGGCTCTCGGGCCGGATGCCGAGTATATTTCGCAGGCTTTCTTATCGGCCCTGGTGACGGTGTACATATACAGGGAAGCGAGCAACAACATTCATCGTACAATACTCGTATGAGACACTCATACCAACTCCATAAGCTCATCCTCCACCTCCTGTGCCCGGCGCTGAGCTTCATTCTCCCACACGTTCCCGTCCCAAAGATTCCCACCTCCCAGATTTGTGCCAGGATTGGTAGTGAAGCCCGCAGGATCGCCCCAAAAATTTGTGTCCATCGTATCCATCGCTGTGGTATCCAAAGACATGGGCACATCGGGGTCGAATGCGGCGTCGAAGAGCTCATCTACTACTCCTCCGAGTTCCGGGAGTGGGACTGGGGCTGAACCAGGGCCGTAATCGAGCTCGCGTTTAACGTAGAAGGCCATGTAGATGGGGATGGGGTTGGTCAAGGCCGACGAAAGAGTCGATGGAGTGACCTTGTCGTCGTCAAACTTGTACCACTGGGTTCCGGGTCAGGACTTTGGTACTGATCCTGGAAGCTCGTACATACCTCGTCTTCGAAACGCGCGAAGTTCGTGTAATGGCCCGTATTGAGGTCACCTTCGTGATTAACGATAGCGAACAGGTCGTACTCGTACATCCCTTCCGGTCCAGGATGGTTGAGGAACGATCCGGGTTCGTAATCCTGCGCGGCCTGTGCGAGATGCGTATACGGCGCCATGTTGATGCGACTGGGTATGCGGACTGGGGTGCCAATCTTGCGCACCGAGGCCGGCCCTGTCTGCTCGAAGCGCTTGAACTGGAATGAGAGAACCGGAGGTAGTTTTGTAATACTCATTCGCTTGACAGTCTCCTTCAGAAACCGGATGTCAGTATAGGTGAACGTGGCGCTCTGGATGGGAAGACATACGCCCGGCGCCTTTCCGCATTTGGGACACGAGTACTCCTTCGCACCCAGTGTCTCGGGGCTCGTGAATCTCTTTAGACAGTTGGCCAGAGTATCGGCTGTGCTAGAAGAGTGCAGGCTCAGGCTGATGTCAAGGCACTCCTCTGGTGTGCGACTCGGGTTCGCGCATCTACCGCATCGAACTTCACTCTGTAGCACTCCTCCGAAAGTGGCGTGCACTATGCAAGAGCACGCTGTCTCCGAAGAGGCAGGCGTCGAGGCGTGGATAGAGTTCAAAAGTGCAATAAGACACTCGTGCGCATCGTGTTGTGAGTATCCGTTGATCCCGGACGAGGAACGCCAAGTAGCAGCGAGAAGTCCTGTCGGTCCAATAGGAGCAGGATTAGGTGAGAAAACCTGGGATTGGTGTCAGTATCAGGACGGCCCATGACTGCAGAGGCCTTACAGACGTGAACAGCTTGTCCATCTCACACGAGGTGCACTCCATGTTTTCGCAAAGGACGTAATTGTGCTTGTCTGCGAGGAAGTAGTTGCGTATCAATGGGTTATGAATGAGGGCCTGTAGGACGACGTTTAGGAAGCAGGTCTGGCCGAGATTCAAGAGTCCGCATCTACCTGTGCCAACGTCAATTATGGTTGTCTTCGGCAAGCATTGCGTAGTCTTGAAGCGTAAAGCGGCGTACTTTGGCAGGAGATGCGAGTCATCGATGCCTCTAGCACAGCGTCATCTATTGGTGGTTGTGGTTGGTATAGTTCTCGAGGTAGCCTGTCAACTATAAGGGCATTAGTGGGTTATATCAAGAAGGATATATTATATGAAGTCGTACGCAGAAAGTGGGCGTTCTTCTCGTCTACGGCGAGTAGCGTCCTTTTATATGCAGTATCCAAAGTTGGCTCGTAGATGAAGTCGTCGCATTCGCTGCAGAAGACGGCACCGGTATTCGTGTCCACTCCTGCGATGTTGTTCAGCGAAAGTGCAGAAAGAGGACCGTGAACAGGGCCATACCAAAGTAATGGATCTCGTCCGCAAGATGCTCTGAGATATGTTCATCTTGCCAGCAAGCCGCAAACGAGCATTGTAAACAGACAAATGGTCGAGCCAGAGTCCTACGGCATGTCCCACACTCGGGCGCTGAAAGCTGGAATATTTCAGGGATCATACGACTGCACGCTGTGGTCATCGGGCGCACCTTTTGCCGCTTCTTCGCATGTGCATTGTCATGCAACCTCTGCACTCGCCACCCCACCGCATTATTGTACGCGTGTATTATCCGCTGCTTCAGCTCCTCGTCCGCAAACGCGTCCTGTATGTGCGAGCACGAGCTCGAGTCCCCATCGAGCAGATCTGAGTTCGAGGTTGGGCCGAAGAGCTCTGACGGACTGATTGTTGCGGGAAACATAGCCGCAGCCATGTTACATGTATTTGAGGATACAGTCTAGGATAATGGTGTGGTCAATTCCACGAATGTACGGGCCGTCGTGGACGTCGCGGACAAGTAGTCGCAGACGTCGCCACTCGCGTGCTCTCGTGTGTCCAGGTGTGTCCCGCCTCGAACGCGCACACGTGAGTTCAACGGAATCCCGCAAGTAATATATTTTCTCTCGAATTCCCGCGTCACAGAGAACAACGACGATGATCGCCCTACTATCTAGGAGCATACTCGTGGGCTCGCATGGACGGAAGGAGCGCTAGAGCTTCAAGTTGAACCCTGCGCCGCCGATCAGTGCCCTCTTCCCGCGGCGGACAAAGCAAGTAAAGGCATGTACATATCGCTCTGCCGTTCGATACGTATTCACGCGCCACAAGCAACGCCGCACTGTGTCTAGGCACCTCGACTAAGGCTAGAAGTAAGCCAGAGGGCTAGAGCACACTAACCGTGCCCTGCGCTGTCAAAGTCCGTGAACCCTCTCCTACGGCGCTATATTGCACAGACGGGGCTCATCCGTAGGACGGGGGTGAGAAGCGTAGACGTCAGCCACTCAAAATGTATTCATGTGAGAGCAATATCCGTGAGCATTGCGAAGCGTGAAAATCATGAAAATAGTCCGTAGGTCCAGGCGACGACATGGGAGCAGGGAAGCACGCAAATAAACACTGTACAGAGGCAGGCAATATCGTTCGTACACTACGGCCATCAGTCCGTCGTCAGAAAAAATCGGCATTCGTTCATCTCTCCTCTCTGATTCCTCATCGGTAGCCCTGGTACGGACTGTAGCTCGGTGGTTGTGACGTCGCCACCGATGCGCGCACTGCAGCGTACGGGTCTGCGTACTGCATGGTGCGGCTCACGCGGCTACCAGCTTCGCCAGCGGGTGCATCGAAGCCCGACGGAGCAGGATCGGAGAACGCGCCGTATGCGTCGATGCTTTGCCGTCCGCGCGCCGGTGAACTTGCTGCGTAGCCGCTTGGCGCAGCACCGCCGCCGTAGCCCGAAGTACCCGAGTAGGCAGTGTCGCGGTTATCGCCGCCATAGCCACCCGCGTAGTCGGTCGAAGGAGCTCCGGAGTAGCGTTGTGCGGTATCCATGAATGGGCCCTCGTCCTCATCGTGGCGAACTGGCGGCAGGGGCTGGTAGACGGATTCAGCATCGGCATCGTCCTGTTCAGCAGGATGTTGGAAGGGAGGATCCCGGGGTGCGCCCAGGCGACCCTTACGCCAGTCCCATACAAGGAGGCCGAAATGTACCGCCCATGATGCGAAGGCGAGCCAAAAGAAAACCGCGCCGGCCTTCTTTGTCGCGCACCAACCGTCGAGTCCTTTCTTGAAGGCATCGCCCTTCTTCGCATTTGGGTCGTTGTCAGCATTTTTGCAGCCCGCTTCCGTCCAGGCGGAGATGGTGACGATGAATCTGGAGTCACAAAGAAGTACATGAGCGTTGTGGCACTCCGGGTGAGAATGAGACGTACGCGATGAGGAGGTTGAGGACGAGACCAGTGCCGCCGAAGATGAAGGCGACGCGCGCCTCTTTGAGCACGCGTGCAAATCGTGTTAATCGGTCGTATCTCTCGTATAGTACAGGTATCGCCAGAAGTCCGGCAGATAGTACGAGAGTGAACACGGATACGAAGATGGCGAACCCAGATAGACCAGCTGGCCGTGTGGTCAGAGAGAAGGCGACGATTGAGATAGGCTATGCTTACAAGGGCCCACTCCCCACTTTGCTTGGAAGGCAGCTACGCTGGCAAAACAGCACATGGCAAGGAACGAGAAGAATATTTGTGACGCATGGAACACGATGACGGGTTTCGAGATGATCATCTAGCAGGCTACAAGTCAGCATATTGGTACGATGCTGGCGAAGCAAACTAGAGACCCATATCCAAGCGAACCAAAGAATCGGCAGGAATATGACAAGTATAAGAAAGCCAGTGGTGTCCATGGACGATGACGGACGAGGTCAAAGAACAGGTTACGTAACCGTGTTCGACTTGCGCAGCTCTCTTCCGGCCAGAAAGGGCCGTGCGATTGCCGCAGAGAAGTATACAGGAAAGGATATAGGAAAAGAAGACGCACATCGTCCTCGAATCCCATCGCGCCTCCTCCGCCTCCAATTCCTCCGGTTGTGGATGCTGTGACCTTGTCACGTCCCCCTGGCACCACGTTCGAGACGCCTTGTTTGATCTTGTCAAAAAATGACATGTTGGTCGTCGATACGACAAATAATCGAGTAAGATGGGTGAGATGAGTGTCGAAAGCAAAGCTCGGTGCTTATGAGGAGCGCTGCTCTCGATGGAACTGCGCGGGAGGCGAAGTTGGATGGGTGAACAGGCTGACGTCAGGCCGCAGTACGAAATATACACAGCCGGCCTCGGCGTGTCCTCGGGTTCGTCCCAGTCGGCAAGCTCGGAGTAGTATACAACGGTGCAGATAGTCCGCGGCTAGTCGTACGCGATGATGGAGGAAAGAGCGAGCCCGAACCTGTATCGCCAAGCATCAATCGTGCAACGGGTGCTGACCGGCAAACTCCGAAACTACCGCCGCGCGTCAGCGCGTCTCGCCGCCACGCGCAGCTCTGCTCTTACAGCCATGCTTGTTCGCCGCCCACCGCAAGAAGATTGCCCGAACAGTATAAATCGAATAACAATGTGTGGATAGCGATGCGATGCGTGAGACTACATACAAGGGGAATATATGGTAAAGTACAGATGTGTGGTATGGTATGAATTCCTCTAGATCTACATGTCGAGCTCGCAGTACGGGATAGCAATCTAACAGTCGCACTTGCTCACCCGCGAGCCAACACACTCCCACTCGTCTACCGTCCGTGCCATCTTCTGCAGACGCGCACGCACATTCGAGATGGCATCGTCGCCGAGGAACAGCCATAACGGCATCTCCGTCTTGCCCGCCGCGCGGCCCTCGCCGTTCACGACGTCGACGATGCAGTCCATGCCCTTCTCCGGGCTACCCCTCGTATCATCCTTCTCACGTGCAGCAAATGCCTGTGCGATCTTTTGGCGGATAGGGTCGTAGTCTTTGATCGGACCGGGGCAGATTGGGATCTGGATACCGCTCTCGAATGCACCGGGCGCAACAATCATGACGCCAACATTAAATGGCTTCATCTCTGCCGACAACGTCTCGCCATATGCGTGGACAGCGGCTTTTGTGGCGGCATATGCACCAGGGCCCTGCGAAGCGCCGTCAGGACACAGCTTGGACGGCATACGCGGCAGCGTACGTACCATGTACTCATTGTGATATGCCGTCCGCGAGCCAATGATAATGACCTTCCCGCTCCTCCTGGAGCGGAAGTGGGGGAGCAGTGCGTTCGTAACGCCAACGACACCGAGGAAGTTCGTCGACAGCAAGGCGAGCAAGTCTTCCGCACTACAAAGCCAGGTAAGCGCTTGTTCTCGCAGAATGAGGTGGGGCGAACTGTACCTGCACTCCTCTGTTGGCCGAATGTTTCCGTGACCAGCGTTGTTCACGAGAACGTCGACATGGCCCCAGCGCGCGATTGCCTTGTCCATCGCAGCCCTGAGCTTGTCGAACGACCACGTAACGTCCAATGCGAGCGGGTACAGGTTCGTCGTGTCGACGGAAGGGTCGGCAAACAAGTCGGCGAGAGCGGAAGCTTCCCGAGCTGTGGCGATAACACAGCCACCACGAGCAAGAACCCGTCGAGTCAAAGCAAGGCCCAACCCACGCGATGCGCCTGAAAGAAGTCGAAGGTTCGTCAATTCATTGCTCGAAGAGGTGAAGTTCGAACCCGAAGCGGCTTACCTGTGATCAGCCAGACCTTCTTCGAGTTCGCCATTTTGCCCATCTTGAAAGAATGTAAAGAGGGTAGAAGAGGTGAAGACTCGGGTTTGTAGAAGACGGTGAGGAGGACACAAGATGCGTCGGATAGCTATTGCCCAGCAGAGGCTATGGGGTCCATGAAATTCCGGCCATCTCTCTTTTATGTGTTCTGCGCGTTCGTTTGCTTTTGATGCGTACCGGCCCAGGCAACACAAGATCCGGGACGTAACGAGCGTTCGGAAAATGACGAGGGGCGCACACAGGCGGTCGAATCGCGGACAGGCGTGGTCGCTGTGTCATCCGGCCGGATCTTGCGACTTCGCAGTGATAAGGTCTGACTTTACTCGGTTTGTAGTGCGCGGCACTTCATCTTGCCGTGGTGGTACTGCGACCAACAGAGGCGCCCGCCCTCTGATGCTAGATCTTCGTTGGGCTTGGTGAGAGTGCTTTCACGCTGATCTAGCGTCTTTCGACGTCATATAGAGCTACGGCCTATCAACTAGCGGGTGACTGAGATACGAGAGCACCTATGCAATCGAGCATCGTAGCAACCTCACCGCTGTCGAGAGAGTGAACAGCAGCGGGAAGTCGAACGCACAAGTCACAAGGAAGCTTTTGTGCCACAGGCATAGACGTTGCTAACAACCGCGGACTTCTCTTCTCTTCCTCTATCCAATCACTCGCTTCTTCAGCGCTGTTGACTGCATAGGTCTATTTCATTCGCAGGCATGACTGAGCAGATGAGCCTGGGAGAATCAGACGTCGTGTCGCACAACGTACCGGCATGCCGTGAAGAGGCATTGACGAGGTCCATGGCCGTATCTGGACATAGTGGATACGGTGAGAAAGTCCTACCACTGCATTCTACGCCTCAAAGGTCGCCCCTTGCCCGGTTATCAAGCCTTAGCATCGACCCTAGACTACGAATGAGCAAGTTCAAAAGTCCGAGACGCTCGATGAGGAGGTGCCTGTATGCGCTACACACGGGCGGCCGCCACAAAGACGATACCGCCGGCGCTTTAGTTATGCTGTAAGACTTTGATCTGAACGAAGGGCACCTTGTTGTGCTCTGTTGAACTACCTCTCCGCTGCCATGAGCTCTCCATGAGCTCGCCACGAGCGCATGAACTTAGATGCTCGCGCCTGATCGCCCTCTGCGGTAGCATGACCGGTTCGCAGAGGCTATCTTGAAGGACGTCCGAGCCCGCTAGAACGACTGCGACATGGAACAATCAGCGATCTGTAGCATGGTCTGCTCTGCGCATAACGGCACTGAAAGGGCGCTCAACCGATACGTGCGTGAGCCAGAAGACGCATGTGCGTCTGTCAACGTTCAAGCTCGTCGAGGGAGTCATTCGTCCATAGATGGAGCGAAACCCTTTGTCTTGCCGAGAAGGTGAAGGAAACGAAGGGTAGAAGTGCGACCCTGCAGCGGTAAAGTCCTGACGATCTTCAGGTCCTGTAGGCGCTGGCTGTACCCTGAACAGCCCGATCTGAGCATCTTGCAGGGCATGAGCGACATGGTGCCTAAAGCGGAGTATGCCGGCGCAGACGAGCACGAGTGGTGGTTAGATACCGGCAGCCTCCAGCAGATGACGCTGAATCAAGAGGTCCATAGTCAATTAGAGTGCGATGGGAGTTGTGTGAGGGTGGCGGTGACATGAATCAAAGAGACGGGCGTAGACCGGCCGTATGCGTTGTTGGGCTACTGAATGGTCCCGATACAAGGGTGCTGCTCACCTCACCTGCGGAGGATTACGGTGAACGAGCTGATCACAGCAGTCAGCAGATCTCGCTTAAGCACGACTGACGTCGCTGTTGGATTCAATATATCGTACATGTATAGAGTTGTGGCGTGGTAGCACGCATTGAAGCCCAATATGAATGGATAGGAGTGTACGGTGGATCATTCGAGACCTCATCAGACTTTCTCTTCAGGTTTTGCCGACGGTGTTTTCTGAGCGGCTTGCGGGACAAACTTCGACCGCTTGCGTAGAGCGGGCCCATATCTCGTCAACAGGAACGGTATAGGCGCCAATAAGGCCGCGAAGCAACCCAGCAGGGTTGATGCCCATCGCGGGTTGAGAGAATCGAACATCTGCCTGGCGAAGAGGGGAAAGGCGGCACCCACGACGGAGCGCACGATGGTGTTTGCAGACAATGCCGTCGCGGCAGAGACCAAATAGGTGTCCACGATGAAGTTGAACTGTGTGAAGAAGATGAGGAGGATAGAGAAGCCGAGAAGGCTGCCGGCCATCATGCTGGACCAGAAGGGAATCCACGAGTAAGACGTCCAGCCGAACCTGGACCAATACAAGTGAGCGAAACTGGACGAGAGACCTGGCGAGAACTGCTTACCAGAAGAAAGCGATGCTGAAGAGCGGCGCCGCAATGAGTGTCACTTCGAGACGCTTCTCAGGTGGAACGAGTGCGGGCGCGTATTCCTCCATGTATCGGACATAGCGAGGGTGATAGAAGATCAGATACTGTAGTATGATATTCCCATGTCAGCGTCTTTCTCGACAAACAGAGAAGTGTCTTACGAAGATGCACCCAGCAACGCCTCCAAGGAAGAAAGGGATGAACATCAAACCCGAGACACCCGGGTTGAGGTTATGATCCTGAGTGAAGACTGGGAGCGCGCTCAGCCAACACATATCACTCCATCGAAGCCTATGCTCACCGATCGGATATGACTCAAATAGAAGGTATAGACACCCATAGACGAACTGTATCACGACGGTGAGCATGGCTCAGAGGTGTGTACTTTGAGGAGACGTACGCTCATGTATACCTAGAAGAAGAGATGTGAGACAGGGGCTGTCGGAGACCATTGAGATGCCACATACTGTGATAGCTGCAAGCATTGGCTCCTCCACCAACATTTGGAAAGGCGATACAACGATAGTCCTGACCCTCTGAACAAGGGGCTGCTTCCTTGCCTCGAGCGCCGAGTAGTAACCTAAGTCACCGGTCGTCTTGCGCATCTTCTTCGCCTTGTGGGTTAAGATGGTGGGCCTAGGCTAGACTTAGTATGCTGACTTCGTATTCGGAAGGCGGAACTTACGCGTGCGTCTCGGGTAGAGTGAAGACGACGAAGATTAGACATGTACCCGCGAAGCAAGTCGTCACCCAGAACACCCATCTCCAGTTCGTACCGGACTGGTCGATCCATCCAGCGACGGTCGGGCCCAGAGCGGGGCCAGCAAACGGTGCCAACGAGTAAGATGTCATCGCGGTGCCGCGAGTCTTTGTGTCCCAGATATCGCTGATGAGGGCTCTGGAGGACAGAGTTAGTTCGGCGTCCGCCGTGCATCGCGGATGATGGGCGCACCCGCTGACTGTCAATGGCGCAGAGGCGAAAAGACCGCCGAGAAGGCGGAAAACTAACAAGGCGCCGGTGTTGGGGCTCAGGGCACAGCCAACTTGCCAACACTGCGAAGACGTTTCAGACGGTAAAGAAAGCCGGTAAAGAGCTCATGGCCGTACCGTGTAGCAGAAGAAGGCAACGACGAGGACTGGCTTGCGTCCAATTTGTTCGCTAATCGACAGAGTTTAGCCCTCAGTCATACGTACGACTACGTAATTTGGTCGTACCTCAGAGGTCCCCATACAATTGGCCCGAAGGCGAAGCCCAAAACTGAATGGATGATGCCGGTCAGTTGCGAGTCGTGTGATGTACGATGATCCGAGCGCACCAAAGATCGAGGTCAAGAGACTCGCCACCTCCTCCCCAAAGTGCAGATCTTGCATGATCTGGTCGACGATGTTCGAGGGCGCCGTACTCGCGAACGTGCTACGGGACTGTTAGCTCAGGTGATGTCGAGTCTGGCAGATGATCGCACGCGTTCAGGACCAGGATGCCCGCCAGGGTCGTCATGTACCACCGCTTTCTCCTCCCCCAGGTCTGTAGACATAGCGTCAGAAACGGTTCTATCAATTCGGAGGATGAGAACGTGGCACCTTCGGGTCCATAGGATCGTTTTCGTCAAATTGGACCAAATATGGATCCGACTTCTCCGCGACATTCTGTGGTGGTTGCCGTTCAACCGGCTCCGCAAGCGTCGCGTCGTCAGAAGGAGTCGCCGATGGGGAAGCGTCCAGATTCAAGTTATGTGAGGAGGAAGCGGCAGACATCGTCAATGAAACGATACAAGTGCTGGGGCATACCAGTCCCGAACTCCAAACAGGTTCTTATGTGCGTTTGAACCAGCCTGGGCGGCTCAATGCCCGGTGTGATATAAGACACCCACTATAGGAGCCAGTCCTCTCCGCGCACGGGAGTGGGTCACACGTCATCGGGCGTTCCAGGTTAGTGAGCAATAAGCGTGTTAGGCCCCACATATAGCACGCGATAACATGTTATCGGAGCATACAGACTCCGGAGAGCCCGCATATTGGGAAAAAATACATGTTTAGCGCATCCTCCGGGCTGCAAAAACGGGATGGGGATACGCGTGTACGCAGGTAGGCGCTCGGATATGCAATCCCGCAAACGCCACAAAATTGGATTGGTGCCGAACTCCGGTACACGAAAATGGAAGCCAAAGCCTGCGATACTAGTTTTACATCAGTGCGTTCCGTTCGCAGCCGGCTTGGCATCGTTGCTTTCTTCAGCGTCTTGGAACTGTTCTTCGGGTCCGTCCTCCGGCAGCTGATTGTGGGGGTCATATATGATTGATTCGAGATGTGCGAGGGCGGCCTGGATGCAGGTACAGGCTAGTACGGCTTGAAACGGTTGTCATTGACGAAATCGCTGCGAACCTTGCCGACTTCGCTGAGCTCCTCGTCCCCGTCTCCGTTGAACGTCTCGAAATTGCTATCGTCCACGAACGCATCGTCGTCCATATCGTCGTCCATGTTCGGGTCAGGATGCAAGGATGCGCAGTAGGAAAGAGCCTCGAAGATAGCTTCGACTACAATGGACGGTCAGTATAAGGTCGATATTCTCGAACATGTCGAAACGTACTCGAATTGCTAGGTACTGCTATGCTCAATTCGCGCATAGCCGCGTATTCCTCCTCACCCTCCGCCGCTTCGGGTGCATTGTCCGCTGTCGGTTCGTCGAGTTGACAGTAGATGAACGGGCCGGTGTCCGCGCGAGAGACTGCGTGGAGTGTTATGGACGGGTAGGGCACCTGGAAAGCGCGCCCGGTCGCCGATTGAAAGACCAAGGCGCTGCGATGAGACCGTCGATACGAAGACTTATCATGATTAGAGAATTCCTACCTTTCAATCACATAGAGTGTTCCTTTTGTGCCATCTTCTTGGGTAAAGCCTTCCACGGGAGGCTCAAAGCGTACAGATGCGGTTTCCTCCTTGTGGCGCAGGACTGGAGGAATATCGCTGAACGAAGCGGGCGTTGTCCCTGTGAGCTCTCTGTGCTCATCGGGAGTGATGAATTTTGGTAGGCTGTCGATGAGGGTCACGGCAGACATGGTCGTGGATGTTGAAGAAGACAACGCGATCACGCCGTTCAAAGTTCGATCTGCGCGCCTAATTAACGCGTCAGCGCGCGATGTTCAGATGTTCACTTCAAGCAGTACGCCTAGATGGATGTCCGAATATTCTATTGCTACACATCTATACGGGGTACATCCTAGTGAAAGTTCAATGAGAGATCCAGAGCGATATGAAGGCTGTGTTATCCGATGGTAAAGTGTTTGTGGGTCATGCAGCCGCCTCTTGTGTGGCGGCGGGGCCCGACACCGAAGCAGCATGTTCCCATCCCTTCGCAGCAGGAGTCTCAGCTGTGATTGCCCTCCTTGCCGCCTCCAAAACCATTTTCACGCTGGTTGCACCCCTGGGCTGATCTGGCGCCCAGCGTTCTACAGACGACTCCCGTCCGTACGCTATCTCGGCAGTTTCCAACTAGACAAACGCAGGGATCAGCACGACGAGGCACAATACTTTGGCGATGCGCGCACGAGGACTTCAGCCGTGAGTCCCTTTAGGGGAGAATGGCTTGTTCGGAAGCGATGGAGCCTGTATACGCCTAACCACGCGGTAGGGATGTCGCGGAAGTTCTACATGCGCTATCAGCAGGCAGAAGACTATCATGGATGGTGGGACCTTACATGTAGTTCTTCATCGTATGCCCAATGCTCGCCGCCCTTCTCCACGAGCGGTTCTCCTTGAGCAAGCTCAGAATTCAAGAGGGCTTCGAACGGGTGGCTGAAGATTTGATCGACCTCGGTTTCCGAGGCTTTCAGGTTTGGGATGACCTCTGCAGGCGCCGATAGGAAAGCAACGACAGGCCCGACGATCAAGCGAGATGCGGACACGAACGGGCGGAGTGTGCACAGTACATGGACGTGCGGACTCTTCAGCGGCAACTCAATCTCCTCGTATGCCTCCCGTAGCTTCACACCTTTGGCGTCAATCAATATGAGCTTCACTTTACCGAGGTCGGGTCACGTACTGCAGTCTGAACGAAGCTCGTCTCCCCCGCATCCATCTTTCCACCAGGTAACGCAGTCTCTCCCGGATGCGTACGCATAGTCTTCGCTCGAGTCGTAAGTAGTACCCGCAAGGCACCCGCATCCTCGTACAGAAGAACCAGAACCGCTGCGAGGCTGGTATGCGCGTGAACGGTTGGATCAATGATCAGTTCTGGCTCATGTGCGGATAGTCGGGTCAGGCAAGCGCGGGTCTTCTCGCTAACATCCTTGAGGATTTCGGACGGTACGGACAGAGTCGATATAGATGACATGGGGCTGAGAGACAGGTGCATGGGTGCCATGCGGCGTGTCCTTGTCCGGGATTTTACAGCGGTGGCCGGCGTTCCGCTCCGAGTCCGCGCGAGCAAGTATTGGTGCACACAGTCAGCCCGGCCTGCTGCGACAGAGCGAGGCCTGGGAAGAGGTGCAAATGGCACTTCACATCCCTCGCCATCGTGGACGTCCAAATGGCTTTTCACTGCATCGCGTCACGGCCGTTCGAGTTGATCTTGGCGATCAAAGCGCAGACCAAGAAATGTAAATCGAAATGTATTCATTGTGCCCAGACACTTCGAAATGAGCCACACTTGTGTCACCTAGCTATATGGTAACGGATACGGACGTACTACGTGGTGACCAACAGCAGTACGAGAGTCTCAACGCGGATGATGTCGGCCTCTACTCCCGGTATGTGTAGGTATAGGTGTGTGGAACTATGGCCTCGACTTCTTGCAGGTATGTAGTAATCCCCTCGCTACCAACGATCGTCCAAGACCAATGATTGCCGTCGTCAAAGCCGATGCTTGCCAACGGCCTGCGCTGCGCAACGCGGCTCTTCAAAGCGTCCAATAAGGATTGGCTCCTCGAAGGGTTGAATCCCCATCGTAGCTGCAGCGCTTGCAACTTGGGGAAGAATCGCGGTTGTCCGAACGGAGACAATGCTCTCAGTATGAAGGCGGGATCTGAGTCCGTGCATCTCATATGCAGTGTTGTCACGGAAGGGAACATGACGTAGAGCTTCTTATCGTTTGGGTTAGCTTCGCTGAGCCCGGGGTCGCAGTCCGCCAAATCGTACTCCAAGGTCTCAATCTGGTCCAGTCGCAAAGAAAGGCCTGAGCAGATGCAGTTGAAGAGGCCCTTGTACTCGTCCGCATGGGTGATCTCCGCGTGAAAGGTGAACTTGAGAACGAATGACTGACTTGGGAGCCACAATGGCGACGTGGAGCCCGGAGGATCGCGCGAGGTATCGAAGGCAAAGTTCAGCTTCGACGAGTCCGGGTCTAATAAAACACTTAGTCGGGTTATGGTAGAGCGTCCATTGACGAGGGTATGCGAAGCGAATGCACGCAAAGCTAGAGCCAGCTCCCCTGATTCGAGGAGGTTGGCGGGATCTTCGTCGAAATCGATGAAGTGGATTGCTATTGCTGCCGATTTGGGTATGAATAGAAACGACCAGAGGAGGTTGATGCGCTCCATATAGTGTCGTAGCTTCAGGTGCGCGAGGGATGGGAATGAGATCAAACCCCTCTCATCGCGTTGTGGTCTATGAAGAACAATCAGGTCCGGGATCCAGTTATCGATGTCCAGATTCTCCAGATGGATGCAGAGGCGAAGCATATTCAGGAAGGTATCCGCGTCCTGTACGGGTTCGAGGTAAGAATAGTCTCTGAGCACTAGACTTGTAAGACCTGAAAGTCCGACGGGTATCGTCATGTTGCAAAGGCAAAGGGATCGTAGGTTCGGCGCCTTCAACATCCCACGAACCGGTGACACTGCAGGGTCCGTTTCAAGGGAGAAAGAAGTGGGTGGGCCGAGCTGAGATAGGGATAGTTCTTCAAGTAATTCCAACGACGCGTGTGTCATGGCACGAATAATCTCGTCCATGGTTGTTGTAGAGACCGAGTCAATGTTGAACTTGCGTGCTCTGTGAAGAAGTCCAAGCGCAGTTTTGATGACGCGTGGTGCAGGTTTCTCAATTACGATGGAGATCGGGCATTGGCCGGCCCTCTTGAGCAACTCCTCCTGGAAGTCCGGACAGCGGGACTGAAAGACGACATCGGCCCATAGGGCATGTATATCCATGAGCGCCGACCGGAGGTCACTACATATGTGACCTAAGGGAAGCCATTTTCGAACATCATGGCGGTCTTCGAAAGCGGCCGCGTATAGAATGCTCGGCAGTAGTTCCGGTGGCAGGCGCAGAAAAGATGAACGTATGCGGTTGAGCCGGAGTCGGTATCGAGGAACGAGATTGCCCAAGTACTTGAGGTCTTCGGCAATTCGGTCGTCGACAGAATATGGCGAAGCCTGCGTATGGACGTGGGAAAGGTCCTGGACGATGTTATTCAGGCGTCGGGTAAGCGCAGCCTCTACGTCTTCGCGCCTTTGACGGATGAGCTTTACTTCGAAAGACGCTGACTAGACACTCACAGACCATTATCCATTACGCCCCAGGGGGAGTCTATGAGAAATTTCTTGGTGAGAGGATATGAGGCCGTGGAAGTCAAGCCGCAAGCGCCCGCCACGCCGCGGATTTGCAGACTCGCGCGCAACACGTTGCGCGCTGCACCTTGCCTTACTCCATCACCTCTACCACAAGTTACCCCGACTCTTATCGTCGACCGTTATATGATGGATAGAGATAGTCAAGCAGTCTTGTATGTAGCTTTTCTGCTCGGCCGAATTTTGATGCTCATTTTTTCTAGCCGGGCGTCCATTGAAGATGCGCTCAACCGCCGCTTCCAAGATCTCGAAGAGGCCACCAAGTCCGCCACAGTCAACGGCTTCTCGCCGACTGACTTGAATAAACTCGCCTATGAGGACATGCTCTACCTACGTGGTCTTCTGTCGCAATACAAATGCCGTCTTAATCGCGTTCGCTCCCCACTTGTGCGGCTGCCGCCGGAGATTTTCCCCTCGATTCTCGCCCCCGCTGTATCCGGAGTGTACGGAGATCTATTCATTTGGTTGAAGTATGGACATGTCTGTCATGACATACGGGTGGCCCTTCTGGGCATGCGCGATTTGTGGGCCGAGGTTGTTTTCCATCGGCCATACATACATGTCCACGACGAGCTACTGCGGCGAGCGGGATCCTCTCCTCTCACTATCTGGTTTTACCTCAATTCGCCTACGCACATCATTAATAGCGCAATGGCACTTCTTGTGAGGGCACGCAGGATAGTGGTGTGCCGTGCAGGCCTAGATATCATGCGCCCTCTCATCAGTTCGCTGGGCCAAGGGTCATTTGAACTTCTAGACACTCTTGAAATCAACCCCTCTGGATTGCATGAATCCCCGATAGGAGCCTTCTCAAATCAAGATGAACTGGTGATACCCGCTGTACGGACACTGGCCCTTTACGGGGTCTATCTGCCGTTCGATCCATCAAAACTCACGACTTTATCACTCTCCAAGAAGCTTGGAGCCCCGCCGCTTCTGGATGCCCTCTCGGTTGTTATAATGCTACGCCGCTGCATGCTTCTAGAGAAACTATCCCTCTCCGAATGGATTCCGGATTGCAACATCCTGAGCACCCTACCCGAGAATGACGCGATCATAAGGCTTCCTCGATTATCGCAGCTTTGTATCAGCCAGGATGAGGCTCGCGTATTACAATTTTGGTCGTTCTTGGAGGTATGAGACGCCTGTGATTACGATCAGCTATTGCAGAGTGGCCGTGCACTGCGAGCATTCATCGCACATACTCTCGCGAACGGTATTCCCAGCATATCACGACTCTCTGTCGAGTTCCTCGAGTTTGAAGGGGTACTCCAGCTAAGCGTCGGATACCCTTCACCCTCTACATCAGGAGACTCACCTTGGCGTGCTCATCAGTCATATGCTTTGAGATTTAGCACCCCGTCGGACGAGTTAACGCCGAGTATGTTCATAGGTTTCATAGAGTGCATATGCACCAGCCTTCAGCTCCGCGTTGATGCTATCGACACCGTGCACTACCGTTTTGGCGAAGAGCAAACCTTATTCGACGAGCGTGATGACAACAAACACTATCTCTTCACCATATTTCCCGCCATCACTACTCTCCGACTGAGCTCTCCGAGAATCGACATCAACTTCTTCCTAAAATCCATGTCATCAGGACATGTCGGTTTCTTCCCCAGACTGCAGAACTTGCACCTCAAACGCAACACCCCTTTCTCTTTCGAATATCTCGAAGAACTTGTCGAGGCCATTCGCACTCGTACCGTTGACGGCAGTGCCCCTTTGAATTCCCTCACTCTTGAAGGCAGTGAGGCGCAGCTCAGCAAAGTAGTAGAATACGCTTCACCCCTCACATCCCTCGTAACGGACGTCTGGCTGAAGACCACGTATCGCTCTATGCAGCACACTGCCCTGAGGTTGGCTTAGGGGATAGGGGAATAGGAGTCAGAATGCAGTTTGCGAAGTGCTTTGTCACATAGTTGGATATTGAGATATTCCGAAACTAACGTTGCGATACACTCTAGTAGTATGTAACAAACGTGTTCGCACTGGGTGTGTTTATATCAATATTGCGATGCAAGACTTGTTACGCCGCGCGGAACCTATAAGTATATCGATATGCTGACATTCATATTCAAGCTATCTATACATCACATCGGCAAGCGACAATTACAACCTAGCTAAGTACTAGTGAATGAACCAGGGCGGAACGACGTGGACATGGGGCACGACGGCCTTTAGACGTTTCAAGTTTCTCGTTGTCTCGTCCACCCCGAAGTAACAAGAAGAAAGAGAGTACTCGTCGACAGTGATAACCTGCAATATCCCGTCGCCGTATTTCACGCGTCTCTCGACAGCATCGGCAATCTCCGGCGAAAACGCGTCGTGTATGAAGAGTGCCTGAACTCGTGGATGATAGTGACATCCTCGTGCGCTCGAGGCGTCGAGGATGTGCGCGACATCATCTTCGTCGAAGCCGTGAAGATCTAGCACGGCGATGGCGGGGAACATGGTGTGCAAGGAGTAACCGTATTGATCATCCGTGGGTTGCAGGGAGAAGCAGCCGTCATCTAGTGAAAGATGCAGCGTATCGATGTTCTCGACGCGCATCTTCAGGTTTTCAAAAAGGCACTTCAGGAACTTTGCCACTTCGTTCGGGCGACTGATGTTTGTGGAGACGGTAAGCGAGAAGCAGGAGTTGAACGTCTTCCACGATACAAGCGGCGGGTGACGCGGTCTTGATGCAAGTTCCGGTGTTGCCGGTTGCTCTTCGTCCGCAGCCCCGAGCCGTATCTCGAGGATTTGGTCTTGAAGCTTACAGGCGGCGAGCTTAGATATCTTGGACAATCCGCCTACTTGTGTGTGCGCAACTAGCGTGCGCAACGACCGTGTGTGATCGCGTAAACCATCCAGATCGCATGGCTCCTCGACGACTGCGTTCACGGACAGGGTAGCGGATTGTGGCATAACGACGATATTCCAGAACGCAGCCATATGCGGCATGTCCTGCCTAAGACCAAGATGAGCCAGGCGATGTAGAGTTATACGCCGGCCCTCTTGATGTAGCCGTTGCAAGGCGTCACATTCTGGTATCCAACCGTCTAACACCAATACGGTGAGGTTGCTGCAGTAGCAAAGCATGTCGACGAAAGCACAGGCATCGGGGATCGGGGTGGGTGCTGGGCGTGTCCACTCGAGCGTCAATTCGCTGAGACGGGACATGTCTACCGGGACGAACACGTCCTTAAGCTCAAGCACGCGCAATCGCGGTACGATCAGGTTTGGGAGGTCCGGTGACAGTAGAGGACTATCTTGCGACAACAGTGGTTCTTCAAATATTGCGAGACGGACTCGGAGTTCCTCAAGAACATGGTGTGGCCCCCTCCGGAGAGCTTCGATAATGACAGCTACACGCTCTCGCAGCGAGTAATCGAGTGATATGATGCGTGCTCTCGACAGTAATGCAAAGGCGCGATTGAAATGCTCCTCTGGGGTCCTCGGTGTCATATAGATGATGATGGGGACGTTCCCCGCCCTATTCAGAAGCTCGTCGTAGCCGCGAGCATACCGTGAATCGTAAACGACGCCAGCCCACAGTACATGCATGCCCAAGAGCGCAGAGCGCAGATCGTGACAGATATGTCCCATATAAAGCCAGGGCCGGAGCCAACGAGGCTGGCCTGCGGTGACTGCAAGTAGGATCAGACGTATGAGTTCTGGCGGAAGGCGGAGAAGGGGTGAACGAATATGATTGAGACCGCGCCAATACAAGGGTAGGAGGTCACCGTTCAGGCAAGCCACATCAGCAGCAATGTTTTCATCTGATAGCATCTCGAGCACCCTCCCAGAGCGTGTTTCCATAGACTGCTGTCTCAGGGCATCTATATGACGAACGAGCGTGCTCTCCATCGACGCACGGCTGTCGAAAGGACGAGCGCGTCAGTAGGACTGGCAGTGACTGAACTATTCGAACACGTACAGAAGTCCCCGATACGCCTCAGACATGTCGAACCCGGTGAGAGGTGGAAGATGTATCCCTCTTTCGAACGCGCAGAAGCCTGAAGGTACCCAGGGGAGTTGAGGAGAAGGAGAAGGAAGAGGATAGCGGTGGCCAAGTGACGCTTCTGGAAACCCGCCGGGGATCACGGGCGTTGAGCGTTTCTCAATCTGACACTTTTGGGGGCTAGGCGCAGTATATTCAATGCATCGTTCTTTGTGGTGGCGGTGGCGGGTCGGGATCAAGTTACAACGCGTCATGAGCCCGGTGCCCGCGAGTGCGCGGGCGCGAGCGAAGGCGCGGGTGCTTGTGGCAGCTTGTGGCTCTTCTGCCCTTTCGCTCCTTGGCCTGTACCACCATCATGCCTCTACTATGCTAACTTATCACACGCGACTACACCAACCCCAGCTATCATAGCAGGGCTTCGAAAACATGCACATTCAAGTCGTGGACGATTTTCGTATTCAATGTCTCGGACTGGCCCTGGGTCATTTGCGACCAGTCCATGTTCAAGATCCCTCGCAATGATCTTTCTAGCCAGGCCGTCTACAATGCTTAAAAGTGTACCCCCTTGACCTACCCGACGAATATGGCACACATGCCAACTGCTCCCCCTGGTTGCGCCCGCTCTCTCTCGAACGCTTCCAATGCCTCGGCGGCTCGCGGCTTGCCTACAGACGAACACCCCGAGGCGAGAAGAGGCAGTGAACCTACTGTACAAGACATAGGCGGACGCCCTTCTTTTTCGCAATCAACTTCTGCACCCAGCGTCGCCACGGCTACCACATTCAAGGCCGTTCACCGTACGGAGAGCTTTAGGTCTTCGCTCGCTCCGGCGCGTGGAAGAGCTTATCAGGCTTGTGAACGCTGCCGCAAGGCGAGAACCAAGGTGAACCCTCGTTGCCGTCAATGATGCTATTCTATGAGTGCTGATGACAAGGTTGGCAGTGTTCCGGAACTCACCCTTGTGAACGATGCGAAGAGAAGAGATTCAAGTGCGAGTATGCTGGACAGGCGCGGCATCTGCAAGCCCAGGATCGAGCGAGCTCAAATGCCGAGGATGACATTGCTGCCCGTCATGCTGAGAAGCGACATCGGCGGGATACTGAGCGCTCCTCATCACGTCTTCGTCACGATCCTGTACCTCAGGATAGCGCCCACACACATCCCCCTGCATACGCGTACGGCTCTTCTTCGCGTGCCCACCAGGCCAACCCAATCTCGACACGCGGTCTTTCCCGCCAACGTTCATCTACGCTCCCATCCCGTCGACGGAGTCTGCCTTATCCGCCACCCTTCATGCGCCATGGTCACATGGACCATCCAGACGCCGCCTTCTACTCTGCGCATCACACTGACCACTCGTCGATGCATGTTCATTCAGAGCGTGGCCATCACTTCTCATTCGGAGGTGCACATATCCCCGTGCTCCAGGGTTGGCGCGAGCCCGTCTGCGACGATAGACCCTACACCAGCTCTTCGGAGACGTCTCTGAGCTCGGGTAGAATCGACAACTCCCCAGTTCATCACATCATCAAATTGCCGGTCCCTGGCTCTATCTATGCTCCTTTCACGGCCTCGCGGAGTTTCGTCGCTCAACAGAAGACAGCGATCATAGACGCTGTAGAAGATTGGCGACACGCACAACACCCCAGCACTTCCTGTCGCACCGGCATTCATGCTGACCGAGCTTTGACTTCGGGAACACACCCCACACACGGGCCAACTCACGACGCTGCTGCCGCGTTCTCTCCCCCTACAAGCGAGGACGTGCGCCGCATCTTGGAGGACGCGTCGATAGGCTGCCCACGTGGTCGCGAGCGTGCATACAGCCTTCCCGCTCTCAGGCTGGAGACGACGCCTTCCAACTCTGTGCCGAGCATCGTTACATTGCCCTCGTTCTCGCACTTGTTCGCTCGGACAGACGAGCGTCGTCTGCGTTGAGCAAGGGGCGGTGCGGTTTGTCAGTCGTCCGAAGAGAGCCGGTTTCAGGTGTTCGAAGGGTGTCTATTGAAGGAGTGGGGCGGTGATCTCCGGCAGACCTGTAGTATGGAGTGGTCGTTATGAGGCTGCACATGTGAATAGCTACGTGGAGGATATGAACCAAGAGTATGTGTCGTATATGATGCGGAAGATAATCTATTCGTCAACAGCCATATCCTCAGCTGCGGCGTCTTTCTTGGCTTTGGCCTTGGATCCAGAAGCAGAAGAAGACCCCTTCCCACTCTTAGGTGCCTTGCCCTTGGTCGCTTTCTTCTGCAGTTCCTCGTACGCTGTACCCGTTATACATCAGCTTCTTATATAGAACGGACGGCGGAGGTTACTTTTTAGCTCGGATTGGATCCCAGGGACAACGTCGCCCAACCCGATCTTCTCGAGAGCTTTGAAGACGTCGGCCGGTTGGATGGACTTGCGCTGTTTCTCAATCGCATAGTCTTCCGACCTATCATCGACACATCCGTCAGATGTCATGGCTGTCATGAAAGAAAGAAAGATAGGCATACATGTAGTATATGTAAGGCATAAACACACTCGCGCCTTTCGTGATCGCCGTAACCGCGTCGCGCGTCAACCTCGTACCTTCCGGACACTTTCAAACACGAAACCACGAATCAGATCACGTCTCTAATCCAAAAGCCCACGTCGAAACCTACAGCATCTCTAGCAATCTGATGCACAATCGCCCGTTCGGGCTCCAAGTCCGGCACACGGTGTATGCTATAGTTCTCAATCAACAGCTGCCGCTGCTGCTCGACAGCGTTGACCTCGGGCGGTGGCGGCGGCGGCTCGACGGGCGCTTTGCGTGGCATGATGGACGCAGGAAGCAAGGGCTGGTGGTCCTGCCCCACTGAAGTTCTTGTGAGTAAAGCCTTGAGGCGGAGGGTATATCACACGGACGCCCACAAACGAAAGAAACGCCGCCTCGAGGCGGCTGCATCTGATCTCACTACTCACGCCGCGCCACACGCGACCACACACAGGCACAGCGAGCTGTATACCCAGATACACGCCTTGTAAAGTCTGGTTATATACAACAGGTTTGTACTAGCATTAACTTTGTACTAGCATTCAAGAGCATTGAAGAACGTTATAAGAGCACGACAGACAATAAAGCAACATCTTCAACCACAAGAGCTCCCTCTCTTCGTTCAGCGCCTAACATTCACCGCCCCATCTTCGGCGGCGTCCTCAAATCAGCCGCCAACGACGTCGCAGGCTTGACACCCGGCAACGGCCCCCAATCAAACGCCGGCGGCTTGGGCAACGCACTCCCAAGCGGCGTCGGCGTCGCACCAATACCCGCAACAGGAGCAGCATGCGGCTTAATCTGCACGCTCTTCTGGTGCGTCGCGCTCGCCATCCTCTTCCTCCCCGCAGTCGGCCCCGGCGCCGTCAAGTCTCCCGACACGGATAGCGGAGGGAGCGTGAAGGGCGTGGAGAAGAAGTCGGAGGCGCTGGGCGCTGATATGGGCGCGGGACGTGATGGGTCGGCGAAGGCGTGTAGAGCGGGCGGGGCGTTGAGCGCTTTGGTGTTCAGGAGCGGTTCGGAGCGCGCGTTGAGCAGCGCGGCTTTCAGCTTGAACGCGGCGCGCTCAGCTGTAAGCGCCGCAGCCGTGCGTTCTGCGATGCTGGGCGTCACCGCGCGCGGTCGGGGTGTGGGCTCGGGGGTGGCGCGATCGCGGTGCGAACGTGCGCGCGACGGCCTTCTGCTCGTTGCCAGGTCGAGCTTCGATACGCGCGCGGACAGGCCGGCGATTTCTGCACTTTGCTGCTCGATGGTCATATCGATGTTGCGGAGCGTGCGGTTCACGGTGTCGAGTGAGGGAGGCTTGATGCGGCTCTTGCCCAGGCGGGTTTCTTCGAGGCGGCGCTTGTCGGCTTGGAGCTTGCCTTCGAGCTGTGCAACGCGCTCGGTGATGGTCTGTCGCAGAAACATGTCAGACAACGATGTGTCGAAGTGAATGGATAGAAAGAGTATAGACATACGCGAATGCTTCGCCGGAGCTGCGTCTGCTGCTCGCTATGGTCCGGGTTAAGCGACTGGCTCTTCATAATCCTCGAGTACCCCTCATCGTCCTTCGCAGCATCGAACTTCGCCACGACCTCCTTGCGCGTTTTGGCTACAAAACTCGTCAGTTCAACTTCTCGACAAGCTCCCATGCAAATACTTACCCCGAAGTAAGCCCGTCTCAAGCTCGCGCACAAACCCTTGATCCTCCTCGAACGACGTCCGCAAGTACTCCAGATCATCCACGAGCCCGTGCACCTGCTTGCCAACACTCTGCACCATATCCATAGTAGGCACGACCCTCCCAGGCGGTGCAGGCGGCGGATTGATCATCTCCTGCGTCCGACGTTCCGCATCTTGCGCAAGCGCACCGAGCTGCACAAAGTCTCATCAGCACAATGTATGACCAGGAGAAGAAGAAGCGTCGTACCTCCTCGAGCTCCTTATTCAGCCCCAAAAACAAATTCAAAAACTCCGCCTGCAGCGGCTCCAGCTTCTCCTCCGGCTGCACCGGTGCAGGTACAGGCGTAGACGGTTTGGACGTCGAGCTGACCGGCGTAGGCGGCGCACCGAACAACGATCCCTGACCCAGCGGCGGCGGCGGGTTGAACAGCTTGTGCGCCGTCTGCGGCTGCTGAGGCTGGGACGGCGGAGTAGCCTGGGACGGAGGCGCGCCGAATAGACCACCAGGTTTGAACCCGCCGAACAACGACGGCGTCGACGGGCTCGGCGCCAGCACAGGCGACGCTCCTTCCTTATTCGCCACCCCCGGCGCAGCAGTAGCCGTAGAGGCAGGCTTGCTCCCGCCAAATCCGAACAACGCAGTAGCAGGCGGCGTCTTCGGTCTGCCCGCCACGGGCGAGGGCTTCTTCATCTCTTCCTTATCCGCCGGCAACTCCGCCGTTAATGCTGAAGGCGAGACCTTAAGCTTGGGAGCGGTGGGCGGGAGCATGCCGAAGGGCGTTTTGGGGGATGCGGGGCGAGGCTTGTTGGGCTTATCGTCTGGTTTGGAGGAGTCAGATTTGGAGGGGTCGCCGCCGTCGGAGGCGCTTGAGACGGTCGATGCGAGGGGCGAGCTGCGTGTTGGGCGCGAGCTGGGGCGTCCGAGGCCGATCGTTGAGCTCGAGCCGGGGAGTGTGGGTGTAGGCTGTGCGATCTTAGTCGAGGGGGTAGGCGATGGCGAACGCGAGGGCGAGCCGGGCGGCGTCGTGCTCTGTCCTTTGATCTTGCCCTTCTTGTCAGGTGTAGGCGGCTCGAGCTTGAGCGCGGGCATCGTCGTCGTGGGCTCCTCGTCTTCCTCCGGTATATCCTCGAGGCCCTCTTCGACTTCGTGCTCTTCCTCCTCTTCCTCGTCGTACTCCTCATCACCCTCCTCCTCTTCTTCGCCCTCCTCATCATCCGACAAAAAGTCATCAATCTCGTCCCTTCCTCCAGGTCCCTGGCTGCCTTCATCCTCGCTCCCGCTCCCCTCAGGCTCCTCATCGCTCCCGGCGTCCTCCTCGCGCACATCAACATAGCTATCCGCCAAACTGCCCGCCGAGTCCTCCTTCTTCACGCCCTTGCCCTTTCCCCCACCCTCCCCTGCATCCTTGCCCGCAATAGAAACAGCAAACGCGCTCTTCACAGCCGGAAACGCGCTCGCGGGCTTCTTCCCCTCCTCCTTCCCCTCCTTCCCCTCATTCTTATCTCCACCCTCCCCTCCTCCTTCCTTCAACATCTCACTAAAACTCTTCCCCTTACTCCCGCCTCCGACCTTCCCAAACGCGCTCACGCTCCCCCCAAACGCCGAAAACGCACTGCTCGCAGCAGCAGACGGCGGCGGCGTCTCCTTCGGCGTTGTCGTGCTCTCCTTCGCCCCCTTAGCAGCAAACGGACTATCCTTCCCGAGCCCGCTAAACGCGCTCTTCCCGAACACGCTCCCCCCACCCCCAGCCCCAGCTCCGAATCCAGGCGCCGACGTGGGCGTAGTGCTCGTCGGCAACGCAAACGCCGACCCCGAGAACGCGTTGTTGACTAGAGGAGCATTCGCCCCGCTCGCGGCTCTCGCGAATGGACTATCTTTATTGAGTGCAGCGCCGAACGCGTTCGTGCTGCTCGTGAACGCGCTCGGGCGCGCAAGGTGCGCGAATGTGCTGCTGGGCGGCGGGCCGGCGGGCGTGGTCGTCGACGGATCAACTGTTGCGGGTGCGGGTGAAGGGGTGGGTTTGAATGACTGGGGTGGGCCGGCGGGCGTGGTGGTGGTGGCGTTGGCCTGCACGGGCGTGTCGGGCGGCGAGAGCGGGGAGTTGGGCGTAGGCGAGGACGGCGATCCAAACGCAGGTGCCGCAAGAGGCGCGGGCGTACGCGGTTCTGTCGCCGAGGAGGCGGGTGGCGCGGCAGTCGGCGTCGTACTGCCAAACACAGACCCAGACGTCGTCGACGAGCCAAACACCGACCCCGACCCCGCACCACCAGCGCCCGACCCGCCAAAAACAGGCGCAGCCTTCATCTCCCCCTCCCCCTCCGTCCTCCACGCCGGCTTCCCACCTCCTCCCCCTCCCGCACCCGCCTGCTCAAACGCACTAGGCCCCGCACTCGCGAACGCGCCGAACCCTCCACCGCTCGGCGCCGCAGTCGGTGCCGTCGTCGTAGTAGAAGTAGGAGCAGGAGCAGCGGGCTTGCCGAACGCCGTCGTCCCGCCCGCAAAAGCCGAGAACGCACCACCCGAGGGAGCAGTGGCCGATATCGGCGTCGTGCTCATCGGGCTGCCCGTCCCGGCCCCGCCGCTGAAGCCAGATTGCCCGAACGCGGCTTTGGCTGCGAAGCCGCTTTGTCCGAACGCGGGCTTGCCCGTCCCTGCCCCGCTCCCGGTCGTTGCGGAGCCGAAGCTGGACTGTCCGAATGCTGGCGCAGGTTGAGAGGGTGCTGAGCTGAATGCGCCGCCGCTGCTGCCGCCGGCTGAGAATGCCGATGTAGGCTGAGTTGGCTGGCCGAATACGCTCCCTTTCTGCGCGGCGGCTGCGAACGCGCTCGGCCCCCCTCCTCCACCGCCGAACGCGCCCGTCCCGCTCGTCCCGAACGCGCTTCCTCCATTCGACCCCCCAAACGCGCCCCCTCCGCCTCCGCTTGAGCCTCCCCCTCCGAAAGCTCCAAACGCAGCGTTCGTCTTACCCTCCGTACTCCCCTCCCCGCCCAGCCCCATCGACAACCCGCCCATAACATTATCGTCCGCCATATTGACCGAGTTGGACTGCTCCATCTGCGGCGCGGGCTCGCGGGGCTGGCCGAACGCCGAGGACGAGGTGCTGGACGCGCCGAATGCCGAGGGGGTGGACGAGCCGAATCCCGTCTGGCCGAATGCGGATGGTGAGGGCGTGGATGAGCCGAAGCCGCTTTGTCCGAATGCGGCGGGTTTAGAGGCGAACGCTGCGAAGGCGCCGCCGCCTGCGCTCCCTCCTCCTCCGAACGCACTGCCTGAAGATTGGGCGGGCTGAGACGTCTGGCCGAACCCTGTCGCTCCGAACGCGCTCTGTCCAAAGCCGGACGTCGGTTTGGCAGCGGCCTGTCCGAACGCCGACTGTCCGAACGCGCTCGCGCCGTTCCCCGCGAACGCGCCGAATCCTCCCGTACTCCCTCCACTAGCCTGTTGTTGGACTGGCTGAGGTTCGGGCTGCATGCCCACGGATGCGGCGGCGGTGGCGGCAGCCATACCGGGATACCGTGTCCCAGTCGTATTAACCACATGCCACCCCAGCACCGTCCCGTCGCTCGCATACGCCAGCACGATCGGCGGCGGCGGCACCTCGAGCCCCTCGCCGCTCGGCGTGGCATGCGTGTACGGCCGGTCGTTGTGCGCGTCGAGCTCGAGGCCGAGGAGGACGGTCTCGTTCGATTCGGTGTCGAGGGGCATCGAGGGCGTCGCGGCGTCTTCTAGGGAGAGGCGTTTCCACGCTTCTATAGCATAATGAGTACTGCTGATCAAAAAGATGAAGAGGGGAGGGAGGGAGAGGACATACCGACGCCGTTCTCGGCTACCAACGAAACGAGCGCGATATCCGCGCTCGTCGTGTCCCCCACGACCAACAACAGCCGCATCGGCTCCCACCCCCTCAAGCACACCACAAACGCGCCGGGCGGCCTCAACCCGCTCGTAAAAAAGTTGATCGGGAGCACCACGTCCCGCGCCACGTCCGGCCTTTTCGCATCATAGGTGACGACCACATGCGCCTGCTCGACGTTCGGGTCCGCCGTCGCGCCCGGCGGCGCGTATATGCCGTAGAAGTCGGGCGTGCTGAGCCAGGAGGTGTGCAGGAGCGCGAGGGGCGTGGGGCTCGTGTTGAAGGGCGGCGGGAAGGACGCGGGGGGCGGGGAGGGGACGAAGGATTTTGGGGTGGAGGGCGCGGAGGGGGTGAAGGTGAGGAGGGAGCCGGATTGGAGGCCGAGGGCGAGTTGTTTGCCTTTGGGCGACCAGCTCACTGTACAATATAATCAATATCATGTTAGAGTATAATGCAGTGTGAGAGCTTACGGGAGGTGGGAAAGGTCTCGCTCGTCCCGCCGCCCCTCCACCCGCACACGCTCTTCATACCCACGACATCGACAACCTCGACCAGCAGACTGTCCCCGCTCCCGTCCGGCTCCCGCAGCACCGCCACCAGCTCGCTCAGCCCCGCCTCCGCATTCGGATTCGCGTGCATCTGGCGCACAGCCGTACTCGTCGTGCTCGGGAACGTGTGCAGCGGCTGCACGTCCCCACTCCCAGCCGTAAATAATGTTTGCGCGTCAAACACCTGAACCGGCCCCTGGACGTATCCGACCAACAACCTGCGATCCCCACACGCAAACAGAATATAATGCGGTACGCCCCACCCGCCCAGATCGACCGTCCTCTTGCACGCGAACGTCCCGCCATCACCGTCGTCCGCGCCGTACAGCGCCGCCCTCAAGTCGTCCAGCGGCGATACGGCCAATACACAGTTCGCTGTGATGGCGGCGAAGTGGCGCGCGTGGGGGGCGATGGCGAAGAGGTGGCCGGAGGAGGGGAAGGGGGTCAGGTCGAGTGGGGCGGAGAGTTTGACGCGTGCACGCGGGTTGACGAGTTTTACTGACAGGAACTGTATATTGGGGTTATTAGTGAATGGTTGTTGGGTGGTGGGAGGGAGGGAGGGCTCACGTCAGAGTTGCTGTCCTCGGCTTCGGACGTCTCCCGTTGCACTTGCACCGCGGGCGGCGGCGGTATTTGTGCCACGCTCATCGCGAGCTCGTATATTTGCCGCTCTTTTCTGTCGTAATAGTATGCAAGAGAGTTGCCTGTGAAGAATGGGAGACGAGGAGAGGCGGTGAGAGTGGCAAACAAGGACTCGAACACGCGCCCGACCCGCGACGCGTGCGGCGTGAACCGAACGCGTTGTTTGCCCTTGTTGATCCCCTTTCCCGGATCGGGGTAAATTCGCCACGACTACTACTTTTCACAGGTTATTCAGACATTCACTCGTATGGGATAGAACAATCAAGATAGAGAGACGACATATAGGACCGACATACAATACGAGTAACGAGAAACAGCAAACGAAAAACGAAAAACAAAGATGAGAGCTAAACGTGTGCGACAGCGACAGCGACCAAGCCAAAACCGATATTCACAAACACCCCTCTCCCCCTCCACCGACAGCCCATGCAGACGCCGGATCACTCGTCGTCCTGCGACGCACCCCTTACATACCCCCTCCCCATCCTAACAGGCCGCCCGCCCGCCCCACCATGCGCCATAAACCCCTTCCCACTTCTCGTGCCCTTCCCCTCGAACACGTCCCTCTCCCTCTCCTTCTCTTCTCTGGTGGGCGGCGGACTCTGAAAGACCTCCATTTCCGCATCCAAATCGAGGTCGAGTAGTCGATCGTCAGAGACGCGCGCCGCGGCCTCGAGCAGCTCCTGTTCGAGCGTGCGGCGGCGGTCGCGGCGAGAGTCTTCTATGTTTCGGGATTGGGGTTGGGGAGGTTGGGGTTTCGGAGGTTGAGGTTGGGATTTGTGGGCGGATTTGTGGGCGGATGTAGAGGTGGAAGTGGAGGGTTTGGGAGCAGGTTTGGGCTTTGGATGTACGGGCTCGGGGACGGCTTTCTTGAACGTCTGCCCCTGCGCCTGCTGCAGACGTCCTTTCGACGGCACACCGCCCTTCTTCGCCGGAATCCTCGTCTGCGGCTGAGGCTGGGGCTGATGCGCGCGCGGCGGCGTCGGCGGACGAGCCGGCACCCTCTTACTACCACTGTCCTCTTGAACCTCCACCTCTTCCACCTCGACTTCCGCTTTGCGACCTCCGCCATACACCCTCCGCGGAATCAGACTCCGCGCAACGCGACTCTTCGCCACGATCTCCTCCCGCGCAGCCGTCGATGCGCTCAACGACACTTCGAGGCTCGACGTTGTAGACGTGCGCGCGTGGGCGTTGAACGCGTCTTCCTCCTCCTCCTCCTCCTCCTCCTCAGCTCCATCCCCTCCTTCGCTCTCTGGATCTTCTTCTTCCTCTTCGCGCCGCGAAAAGTCAAAGCTCGACGGGATAGAGATGGGGATAGGCGGCGAGCTAGCCCGCGGCACTCTCCTCGGCGGTCGCGCGCGCGGCGGGGTGGGCCTATCGAGCGGGCTCGCGGGCTTGCGCTTCGTGCTATCCAGCGAGCTCTTCCTCAGCCCTCCCCCACTCCCAACCACATTCCCATTCCCACTCGCACCATTCCTCCCGCTTGCAGCGCCCACGCCGAGTTGTGACTGAGACTCCACAGCGCGCTGCTTGCCCCGCGCCTTCTCCGACATCCGCGGCTGCAGCGGGAGCGTCTGAAGATCGGACAGCTGCATCGGCGGGCTCGCCCCACCACCAACACCCGCTCCCGCTCCCACTTCCGAGTCAGAGTCTGAAGTGCTCGAATGCCGCGCGTTGGACGGTAGGGGTGTCTTCGGGAACGTGCGCCTAAAAGGCGACGGGTCCACATCGGCATCCACATCTTCAACGGCGGTTGGGTGCTGCAGTTCTTCTTCGGGGAGTATAGCTTCGGAGTGCTGGCGCGTCACCGACGATCGGACCGCCACGACCGGCGCCGATTCCGGCGGGGGCGGGGGCGTGCGTACAGCGCGGTCTTCAAAGAGGCTCAACGACTCCGCGTCGTTGTCTGACGCTAGACTCGGCGTGACGTCCGTCCCGTCCACCGAACTCGGCACGCGTCCATACTCTCTCCTCAACCCCGACCCCGACCCCGACGCCGCGGATGAAGAGGAGGAACCAGTATCCGAAGCGGGCCTCGCACCGAACGCAAAACTCCTCGAAAACGGGTCGAGGTCCATCCTGCTCTTCTCGAACGGCGGTTTGTTCGCGCCCTCGGCCATCGTGAAGCGCCGCTTCAGCCTCCTTACCACCTCGCCCTCGCCCTCTTCCCCTTCCTCTTCCCCGTCTCCAACCCGTTTTCGTTTGCCTAAGCCTGAGCCCAAATTCTCCCCCCTCGCAAAATCCCTACTCCTCTCCAAATCCCGCGGCGCCTCCCCCACCTTCCTCAGCCTCACATTGCGCACCTCGCTCAAAAACGCCGCCATCTTGTCGCCGCTGAGTTGGACTGTAGCCTTGCCGATCTTGCTGCGGCTGAGCGGGTTGATGGGCGCCTCGTTCGGCGTCGCGGCGTGCCGGAGCTGGGCGCGCGTCGCGGCGTAGAGCGCGTCGGGCGCGGGGGTCGTTGGGATGCGGGTGCGGAAGTAGAGCGGGGGTGGGGGTGGAGG